CGCGCCGGGCGGCGAGCCGGCGGCAGGGGAGCGCTCCCGGGAAGGTCACGGCTCCGCCACCGGGACGGGCCGAGCGGCGGCCGCCGTCTCGTGGCTGAGCGTTAGCAGGCAGAGGCGAGGGGAGCACAGAAGCCCTAAGAGAAACGCAGGAAAACCACGAACCCGGGCTTAGGGCTGCTTAAATGACACTTTCGCTGTGCTTGCACATCGAGCACCTTTCACCTGGCGTCCGTTAAGGCAGATGCGATGAGCTCTCTAAATAACTACAAGTAAAAATTAGCCAGTGGGATGCCTTGAAAGAGGAGGAACGCTCCTGCAGGAACAGAAAGATTGTCTCACTTGGAAAAACTTAGCCGACTCTAAGGAACAGATTTGCACATGAAAGGTACAGTGTTTCTTGCTGCTCTAGCGAGCGGCGCGCTAAAGACCCCCCCGGAGTCGGAGGATAATCATCACCGCTTAAACAGGGCTTCAAGTGTTCAGAGGACGCTGGGGACTGGTCGGTCTTTAGTCAATATAAATAACATTCTCTTTCTGCTGAATATGACTGGAAGTGAGAAGGGTAAAGGGTTAATTTGCTTTTCTATTATCTATGAATTTATAGCTCACAGTTAATGCAGGGCGAATTGCTCCACATAGCTCTCTTTAACATGGTTCAGTGGGATTTCAGCCCTCTGTCTCAGAAGCCGCTTGCTCATTTGACCAGAAACCTACTTTTCAAAGAAAAAGAACAGCTCATGGTTGTAATAGTCCCTATGGGTTTGGAAAGACAGAGGCTGGGCAGACCTTGCAGGATTGCAGCCTCCTGAGCAATAAGCAACTTGGTGATTCTGGCACTGCCAGCCACTTCAGGCACCTCGATGTCCAGGGAGTAGTGACAGAAGGGGAGATGAGACACACTGAAATGAAACATTCTCTCATTCACTTAGAGAAACAGTGTGGTGGTGTCCGAGGGTCCACTGAGACAGGTATTGTGTAAACCCATGGAACACAAAATCTCTGTTTACTCAGGTCCATAATACTGAGCTATTTGACATCTTTATTTATAAACATACAGACTTTAGTGTCAAGTTCTTGCAGTGGAGGAGTTGGCATTCTGGGTGAGGTGGATGTCAAAGAGAGGAGGAGATTGCTGGAAACTAAAGAACAGGAATCGGGCAGAAACAGAAAGTCCAGAGGAAAAACAAAGACTGAATTCTGAAAGATTGTAGCAGCTTGAAGAGACAAAGATGAATACAAGCCAGCAATACAGTTAAACCTGTTTAAAATAAGTTTAAGTCTTAGACTTGAATGGATGCAGAATCTGTGAAGGGTTCCTTTACTGCTGTTACACCGACTTACAGAGTGTGGGGAAAAAAGAGTGTGATGAGTACAAGAGGACTCAGTGCCCTGACCTGCACCGCTGGTCGACCTTGTGAGGGGTCTGGTGAATGCAGGAGTTTCCATTATTTATCCCAGCGGAACTCTCGTATTCTTCCCCACTGAACGGAAGAGGCGTGTACTCTATCTGTGGAGGTAAAGATCCCCAGGAAATGCTGTGAAGAGAAACTATTGAGTTTTCATTGTGAAATGCTGAGAAATGCACTGCTGTAGGTATGGGACCTCTGTCAGCAGAGGAAAGTCTGGCCCTAAATACATGGGAGCAGATGAAGAGAGCAAAGACCTGTAGGGGAGCCGTACTGCCAGAGGTGGCCAGGTGATCTCTGAAGAGCCACAGAAACACAATCTTAAAATCTACTATTGCGCACACATTCCACGAGTGAGCGGGAGTCCATTCGCACTCCCACCAGCTTTGCATGGATGTGTTGTAGCTACTCCTAAGTCATAGTGCTGTCACCTCAGAAGAGAGGGCTCGGTTGCACTGCTTTAAAAATTACTGTGAAGACTCACTCTTTTCAGCGTGAATTTGCCAGGCTCCCAGCAGAGCCTGATTTTTTTTTCTTTTTTTTTCTATTTTTAGAGACAGCTGTAAAGCTGTAGTCAAGAATTGCTTACATAATATTTTAAGAAATGACAGCAAAGCACAACAGCATATTTTGACCTTTGGCATCAGATAAGTAATTGGCAGATTAGGTTAATTTTTATTCAAGCAGAGACACTTGCTTTTTTCTTGCTTGTGAACTCCTGTACCAGCACACAAGATTCAACCACGCTGGTACACTTTAAAAACAGGTTTTGGTTTACTGGCCTCCCTTTTGTACGTGGCGGCTCCTTCCCGTGAAGGAAGCCCACGCTTCTGTCCTCCCTGAATGCCGAGTAGCGCGTGGTACGTACTTGTGTGCGTGTGTACACGCGCATGAGGAGAATTTTTAATTTCATGACTGACATTCTAGTAGTGTTACAAATAATTTGAAAACTCCCCCAGAAACCATCTTTGTACTGTGCAGCTGAGGAGCCACTTTCAAGACCTCAGTGTAAGTCCTCCAGTGAACCTTCCCTTTTCCTTTTCAGACGCTGGGTTATGGGCAAGTCAGAAAGCCAGATGGATATAACTGAAATGAATACTCCAAAACCAAAGAAGAAACTGCGATGGAGTGGCCTGGAAATAGGGCTCGGTGTTGTAGTGATTCTGCTAGCTATTGTGGCCATCACAATGATAGTTCTGTATGCAACGTACGACGGTGAGTGCACTTGAACTGTCTCTGAATACAAATACTTATGAATATAAAAGTGGTTTAAGGAATTCTGAAAAATGTTTTAATAAATAGAATCCAGTTGTTTGTATATAGTAAAAAAGAAAAAAATATACTATATTAAAATGTTGCATTAGAAAAAACTGTGTTGCATGGTGTATATAGCTGCGCTACATAAAACATGAAGAAAATAAAATAATGAGGACAGCTTAGAATTATTTGCCTGATAATAGCAAATTTTACCTCACCCAGTGTATAAAATTAGATGAGTAATAGCTGCTACATCATAACCATATTTCATAGGTATGTCACTAGACGGTATGACACAATTATCTGAAACGTAAAGCTGCATCCACACTTCTTATTGCTGGGCACCAACACAAAACTGCTTCCAACAGGGACTCTGTAAATTCATTTGTTCATGCAAAGTTGTGGTAAACACAAAACATCTGCTTGTTCTGACTTAGCAACACTTCTGTTTGTAATGAATGCTTCAGTAAGCAAAAAACTACAAAGTACAACACTGCTGAAGAAAAACAAGCTACAGACAGGGCTTCCTCCATATTCCTGTATACCTATGAAAATCCTAGCTTTTCATTTTACAGGCTGTTGCAGCAAGGAGCATACACTCTTAGTGAGTGTATTTATATTAAGATTCAGCAGCCATACCAAAATATTTGAAAATAATTCCATTCACGGTAAATAGCCTGATAATTTTTGGAAAAGATAATACAGAGAAGCTAAAATTTCCATTTGGGGTCAAACGAGAATGTTTCCTTACGTTGGAAATGAAATGCTTTGTTTCATTTTAAAGTACTTAATAATTTTGTTTAAACATTTTATTATAGTCTAGTTCAATTATGGAATGGAAAAATGCCATTCTGAAATGAAAAATAAAAAAATGTTTTACTTCTGAAGTCTCAGAAGGAAACAATTTCATGTTCCTGAGACTTGTGTTTTGTTTAGAAGACTTCAGAGTGAATGTCTTAGAATTTCCAATTAATTCCTCCAAGACCTTTTAGTCATTGAAGGGTATTGCTAAACTCAAACTGACTTTGCAACTGCCTTCAGTCCATGTGCTATTTTTTTCTGAATTTCTTCCTTGTTATGAAAATTATATTTTGCCCACCTCTAATTGATTGACAGGACATTTTCCTCTGATGACTACAAAAATTCCACATGATGAGTGACTAGCACTGAATGACCCTAAAGGGATGAACATGATGGTAACTTCTTAGAGCCTGATCCTATAAATATTCATTTACTGAGTGTGAGGTGTCCATTCATCTTTACCCTACTGTACACTGCAATTAAATGCAATTCTAAAGTGACTGTCAATGAAAGTAATATTTACAGTAGCTACTATTATATTGACATTCAGTAAAGAATTAAGAATATGATTGTATCCTCTTTTAGATGGGGTTTGCAAGACATCAGACTGTATAAAATCAGGTAAGAATGAAAATGCATACCTTTTAAATTAATTTATGTTTTTAAACAGAATTACCACCATGCAATGTTGCCATCTAACTGCAGACACATACGGCACATTGAGGCGTGGGATCTGCTAACCCAAATAATTTTCTTAGCATATTTCTTCTACAAATGTAAAATCTTGTGATGTGATATTGTCAGATCTTACAAAGACATCAGTCACCAGGTCTGGCTAGTTTAAGACTTAGAAACAGACTCTCCAAAGAATGCCTCCAACTTCAGAAGATGCTTTAAGTGATTCAGAAGATTGCTCTTCCCCACACGCACCTCCAAGTCAGAATTCAAGCAGAGGCTCTGTCTCTGGAGGTGCATAAAAAGAAATTCCTGATCATTGATAGCCATTAAAGGTGCCATTCTGCTGGCTGAGAAGATGCAGTATTAATCTTCACGTCCAGAAAAATTTCCAGATTTTATAGGGTGACAAGCTAATTTTATCCTCCAGTAAAAACTGCATAAAAACCTTTTTGTTTACAACCTTTTCTGAACTCTGCTAGAAGGCTACTAAAATGCATCAGCGAGCTGCTGAGTTCCAGACTATATATCCTCGTAGTAAAGTGGTAGTTATCCATGCTTACCCTTTCCCCTCACTTCTGGTTCTTACCCTCTCTGCTTTCTTCTCCAGATCAATCAATGCTGGTTTCCCTGGTTTGCCTCATTTACTTCTAAATGTCCCCATTCTCTTTGTAACACTTGCTGCACCTCATTAATCCAGACTGATCCTAGGCTCGGAAGCAGCCTCTCTCTCTCATTCCTCAAAAGAAAGGTGCACTTAGCTGGCTGTGCCAACATACATTTCAAAGGGGCTCCACGCCAGCTCTGCCCTGCTGTCCCTTTTCACACCATTTTCTGGGGTCGGACAGGTGACAGTTGCAGCAGTCTTCTCCAGGTCAGGAGGAGAGCCCCACTGCCAGTCTGTAATCACCTTGGTATACCTGTACACCCCTACAGCAGCTCTCTTTTGATATGTGTTTTTCTGGGAAGCTTCTGAAGATGGGATCCCTGAAATCACTCTCTTGGTGTTAACTTTCTGGCAGGAATTCCTCTTTTGCTTTCTCCACCCCTGTAGAATAACTTGGCCACACAGTTCACAAAGGCTGTGGCCCAGTCACAGAGGGTGGCCAGAAATCAAAAATGGAAGCTCAGGACATGGATTGTTTCCCAGCACCCACACCGGGACCTCACAGCTTACCGGGCAAACATCTTGCATTTTGTTCAACTCTGGTAACCTCCCACTGAAAAGCACCATAAACATTCTAATAGCTGCATGTTATCTTCATGTCAAGTGGAACTCGTAACTTCTGCGTAGATTCTGAACATCAGACTGGCCCCTCTGGAAGGTAAGAGAAAGGACAGCCCGAGGAGAAGCCAGAGAGCCAGCACATCAGTAGGAGACAGAGGAAAGGTGGTGAGGAGGCATAAAGGATTTGACAGTCAGCATGCAAGAAAAATGTATGTGCTTGCAAAAAAAGTGTATGTAATTTAAGTGGAGTTGTTAAGGAATCTGTGGTACACATCACCCCACGGGAGGCTTCCAAAAGGTTTTGATTCATAGGCCCCATTTAGATTTGCAGACATGCCAGAAGCAGCAGAGAAAAGTCATTATATTGGTTTCCTTACTTCCGTGGGACTGTTCTTAGGTGTCATTTTATTACCAAAGTAGCAAGGGTAGTTGCCCCATACCTCAGACCTGATGGAGTCATCCACTGGTGAAGCCCCAGCGCAGTCCGCTGTCCCAGTAACTGCAGATTGTCATCAGCACAGCCGAGCACCTTACAGGGTTTATCTCAGGTGGTCATCACTGTTTTGCAGTCACGCTTCCGAGAGGTTTTTCTGCCACAGGGAAAGCTCATGCTGTGGTTTGAAAAATGATCAAATGAGTTATGTACTTGATTTTTTTTTAATCTCTGATGATGCTTATTTTCAGCTAAATATTTATACATATCTGTTAAAAAGAAGTTCAGACAGGCTATGTAATGATGACTGGACCCAGAAAGGGAAAGCAGTAGGTTTGGAGAAATAAGGCATAATGTAAACTGAAGACCTAGCAGGAAGAGGCTAAATGAATTAAGCAAGTAGTTTTATTTTTACGCTTCCGTTAAGAGATTTAACAGCATGCAAATATTTAAGGGAATAAATAAACATTCTTACTGAATGTTAGAATCTCAGTGCAGAAATTGTAAAAGGATTACAGTAAGGACATTGATGGGGAAGAATGTCAGGCTTACAAAGAAACGTAACAGGGTGAAAGAGGCACATTTTAAAAAAATATAAATTGCCTCAATTGAACAGAAATAATCATGAAATATAAAATGAGAAAAAAGGGTAGATAGACTAAAATTTCCCCCAAAAAATAAATGTACAGTGTGGTTCTAATGTCATAATGTCTTTTCATCTTTCATTAAATACAGCTTTATTTTATTCACACATTTATCTCATTTACTCACTGTCATCTGCCCCGTATTCTACAAATTGTCTAGTTCAGTGGAAAGAATAAGCCCTAAAGCAGTGGTGAGAAGTCATTCTCAAAACATGTAACATGCCAGGGCAGTGCTATAATTGTGTTCTGGGGAAGTGTTTTCTACTGACGGAAGAATGAGCTACTGGATATCACAGAGCTTTTCTGTAATCCACATTCTGTTATACGACAGGAAAATGGATCCACTGCAGACAGGGGAACTACTCTTGTGAGTAACTACTACTGTGTGTGCAAGAACTGCACACTCCAGCCTGGAACACATAAAATTTACAACCAGGCAGAAGACAGCTTTTGTATTTTACCAGGTAAAATACGTATCGTACTGTAAGAGTCCTGGGAGGCAACCAGGGTATTGGATTAAATTATAATCTTTATAACTGAGTTTTAGCTGTGGGGCTGTACCTCAAACAAGATCTACACAGATGCAAAAGCAACGGTGTCAAACTGGACACTTCTGAGCATATTGCAATCTGTAGCATTAGGAGGTGTTTCTGCCTAGCAATGGGCGACTCCCAGAGCAGCTAGAAGTCCGGTTGGTCTCTTGGACTGTTGTGGCCTGGAAATCTTGCAATGCGGGAGGCAGTTAGGATCCGGGAGCCCCACGCACACTTTGGATGTGCTACCTGCTACAGAACCGTCAGCTCCAAATAGCCCATCCGTCTGTAAATGCTGTCAATCCACAGCTCTAAGCAAAACTGGGAATGACCAGTTGGAATTTTAACTGGGTGTTTATTAACTGAGCCAGGATTTCCATGTCCCACCATTTAAGGTAGAAACTGCTACAGAAGTGTTGGGCTTTCTCCACACTTGCATGGCCATTAAATGAAATACAATCAGATTATGCAAAGGGGAGGCAAGTGTTGGTAAGGACATAATTACCCAGAAGACTTGCTCGATGAGGGGGTCACTACTGTGAGTGGGGTCTCAGCTCCAGAAGCAGAATGCTGTGAGTCAGGAGCCCAGATGGTCAGCTGGCATCTGCTCGGGCCTACAGTGCTCCAAGAGCTTCAAAAATAGTTCAGAGTTTGTTGGAATTATATAATTTAATAACAAAATACATTCATAATTAAAAGATGCAATGTGAAGGGCTTAAACCAGAGAAGTACACTGTATTATTGCTGTTTAATAATAATTTTACTGGGATGAATCTACGAATTTAATATTACTTCAAATGAGGATTTTCTAACAGTTTAGTGTGGCTGCTTCTTTCAGACCATGTAGGATAACATACAGGAGAAGTTAGATACAGATAGAAAGCAACAAGTATTAACTTTGGAAAATTTACCGTGATCTTTCAAGAAATATAACTAGGAATAGACAGTAAGTGAAATGGTAATGCCTTACACCAGAACTGGCCGATACTGTGGCAGCATTTTGCAATGAATTTCAATATTTTGCAATAGTTACAAGCCACAAAAAAAGAATAAAGTGAAGATACAGACAGAATTTATAGTACATTTAATAGAGGGCCTTCAAATAAATGACAAGAAGAAAAAACTGTAATGACAATTCAATTGGTTACACCCAGGGTAAAATATCAGTAACTGCCCAATACTGTTATCGAGGTTTGTGAAATCCATTGCAGTGCAGCAGGTGAAGATACCACGTTATTTTGGTCATTTGAGTCTTTTTTGAATAAGCTGACGTACTCTCTGCTACTGTTCCTGAGCTCAGACAGCACAGGCTGATGAGAATCGGGAATTTTGATCTGTCTCGTACCAATTTTGCCTAGGTAAGCATATTGTGTTTCTCCTATAGCCTCCCCAGGTCACTAATTGTTCTGTCAGCTTATATTACTTTATTTGTAAGCTATTAAAGCAACAACTGGCAATCAAGAGCACTACAATAAAATTAATCATTAAAAGTAATTGAGATAAGACTCTACATTCTTCAGTGACAGAAAATTGAATAAACAAGTGAGAATAGGAACAAACTCAAACTGATTCAACAAAAAATACTGAGGACTAGTGAAAAGTGTATCACGGAATATCTGGATTTGTAGATATATGAATTAACCTGTATTGAAATTAAAACAGCAAAATATTCATCAGTCTCACACTTCTTATTTCCAGAGCAAAAAAGTCTTAGTGTGTACAGCCATGAACTTACCATAAAGCTTCTTTGGGCATAACCATCAACTTAAAACTAACTTAGAGCATGGTTAGGATTCTGTCCAGCCTGGCTGGTCCCACTGACTTGGAAGGGGCAATTCATGTGTCATTCTTCTCAGCTTGGTTGCTAAAAAAAAAACAAACAAAAAACCACTTTTAATTGATTTTCATATTATCAGCCAAATAACAAATGGTCATCTTGGGGTTCAGATGTGCAAGTTACACTCTTGAGGAGAGCATTCTTCAGGAGAATATTTAATACATGTATTTTGCATGAAGCCCTAAGTGAAAGGTTACAGTTCCCATGACTGAGCTCTTTTATGTTTGCAGTATTTAAACTTCAAGTTGATTAGCTAATATTGGCTAGCCTGGAGTTGACAGCAGAAAAGTTATGACAGATGATTATTTTTGTGTGACAGCAGTAGGCAAGGAAGATTAAACAGATGCTAATTACAAATACAGCAACCTGATTCCACAGTTAAAGCAAGGTTGGATATTACATATACTGTTAATAATGTCTCAGATTTATACAAGATGCGAGTTTCTCCTGGGTTTGGGGTTTTTTTTCAGAAGTGACAAGACAGTGGCTAAGAGCCATCTTTTCGTGGTGTCAGAGGATCTCTCTATCCTACTGTTACTTTTTGGCAGGGCTGGCACACGGCTCTGAATGAGCCGGCTGTGGCGTCCGGTCCTGGCTACTAAAGTCTTTGTGGCTGGACTAACACACGCCAAGATAATCCAAGGGACAGTGTTACCCTTCAGATGCTGCTCCAGCCTAGCAGAGAGATTCACAAGGGTACCCTTAAAACAGGAGCTGTTAGTAATAATTAGCACTCTTCCTCTTTCACATCAAGTTGATGGAGCTAGGACAGGAATCAAGTGAACTGTTCAAAACATTCCCCTTCTGCTAAACAAAATAGGACAAACCAGACGGAAACAAGTACCAGAGCTGACACAATCACAGAATAGTTGGGGTTGGAAGTGACCTCCGAAGAGTCCCAACAACCCTGCTTAAAGCAAGGTCAGCTAGAGAAAGTTGCTCAAGATCTTGTCCAGTCAGGTTCTGATTATCTCCCAGATGGAGACTTTGCAACTTCCCTGGCAACCCATTCCACTGTTTGACCACCCTTGCAGTAAGTTTTTTCTTAAGGTCAAAAGGATATTTCTTTTTCCTATTTCTGTATGTGCCCGTTGCCTCTTGTCCAAGTTGATGGGCAGGGGGGAAATCCCTTGCTCTAAGAGACTTGACAGTAGGACTGGATGCTTGGCTTTGTCAAGAATGGGTAAAAAGCCCCTGTCAAACTGAGTAAAAACATGACTGATTTTCACAGTCTCTGGCTGTCGGCATGATCCTGTATCTTTTCAAATTGAAGACAACCTGCCACTGACTTTAGAAGGAAAAGAATCAAGTGCTAGGCATTGTACCGATTTCCACAGTGGGTTTCATGCTACTGAAGCAGTCTAAAATTGAAAATGTGTGTGTTCGTGGATTTTTCCATTTTACAAGCACTAGAACACTGTAAAACCATCAGAAGTTGACCTCAAATATAACACTGTTAAGCCAACTGAAGGTCCCAAGGAAAATGAAGAGAGGGGAGGAGGCAAGTCAACAATAAATACTGTAGCCTGTCCATCCATCTCTCATTTCCACCAGCATAACAGACATGGAAAATATTGAAGTACTGGAGAAATAACTATAAATATTTGACTCACCCATGTGGGAGGAATGAACCCTTGAAATCACAAGCCTCACCATTTACTAAAAATAATGTCTGAAAAATGGGAAGGATATTCAGTATCCTGGGAAATTCAGAGGTATCGCTAGCTTGTCTGACTCGGAGCATCTCTCCTCCCTGTGAGACTCCGTGCTAGCACACTAGTGGGGAAAGGAGTCTAGGTGGAAGAGGAATACAGACAAGGAAAAGCACAGAAGGTTTATGAACAGTAACTGGGAAATGGTCATCAAGGCATCAGATTTCACTAGAGAATCCCATGTCACCATCAGTCAGTGACCAGACAGTCTTTGACAAGCCGCTACAGGAGGGTCACTAGGGACAGCAAGAGGCACTATCAGTTCTAGAATAAAACGTGGAATAAGTCTAAAAAAATCAGTGTAGATTCAGGAAAGCATTAATAGGAAAGCTTTCTGGACAAGAACTTAAACAGTACAAAGTCATCACTTCATTGAAATAGACTGGATTCAGCTGAGCCCCTATCTTACTTAATTACTTAAATTACATTACACTGGATACTTAACCTCTGATATGTCTTGTGCTTTTAATTTCTCTTTTCACCACATTTCAAGTGTAAGTCAGGAAATTAAACACCTTGTATTTTATTTAAATCCAAGCAAGCACTCACAGGGAGTAGGAACATTAGTGAGTTTACCCATCTGTCAACACAGGCAACAGAAAAGTAGAGAAGCTATGGGTAGTAAAGGAACAGTAATTCGTTATTCACTGACTAGCACTTTGTTTGGTCTAGAACATTCAACTAGGTTTGAGCCTATTCTAAACTAAAGGAAATATATTTATGACTTCCCTCTTCAGAGCAAACAAATATATTGATTTATTTTCTCTCAAGATTCTGTATGCCTTGATTTGTCCCATATTACAGCAGCCCGAATCCTTGAGAACATGGACACCACTGCAGAGCCTTGTCATGATTTTTACCAATATGCCTGTGGAGGATGGCTTAAGAGGAACGTCATTCCAGAAACCAGCTCCCGTTATAGTAACTTTGACATTTTAAGAGACGAACTAGAAGTTGTTTTAAAAGGTCAGTGGCGTTTATGTTTGTGGACTATATAAAGTTTCTCCTTTGGCTTACACGTTATCCTAATAAGATGCAGTTGTCTAGCAAAGCTTAAAATACTACCAGATATTTCAGTTTCTTTGTGTTCGGTTCAGGACAAATCTACAACAAACTGTTTGCTTGCTGTGGAAGGTATGCTGTTGTGTCTGACACTGGAGCGGAGCTGACCAGACCTGACCCTCCTGCTATCTGGACTCTGTGTGCTCATTTGCATATTAGAACTGAAATCCACATCATTACCCTCATGCACTAACAGCAGCAGCCAGGCTAGGTGAAGGAGGGAGGTGGGCCCGTGGGCCACTCAGCTGGAATGCTGGGAGTTGCTCTCTGGCAGCCCTATGTCCTGCATGTCTGTATTTCATCAGCTAAATCCCAGAGCAGGCAAGCAATTTTCTAACTAGTCACATCATAAAACTTAAAAATATTCCTTTTTCCACAGAATGTAATGGTGTCAAATTTTCGCCTGAAAAAAGACAATAACAGAGTCAAAGAAGTCAGTTTATACTCACGAAACATTCTCCAAACCGCTCTCTCCAGACTCAATATGCTTTTTTTGCTTTGCACATCTCCTGGTTTTGCCAGGTTTGCAGTTTATATGGATGCCACGGGTTCCTCAGGGTTCAGTTTCTGTGGAGCAAAGCAATTGTAAAGTAATAACTGGAGTAACTGTAAAGTGGCAAGAGTGGGCTGCCCCACAGGCGAAGGCGAGCCAGGAGCTGACTGTGGTTCAGGGCAGGCAGGGACAGGGCGCTCACAGACAAGGGGCTCAGCCCCCGGGCCCACGCCACAAGAGCAGGTTGAGCCAGCAGCCTCACGTCAGCAGACACGTCCATAATCATGTGGCAGGGCTGCAGGCAAGGTCAGGCTCTGCAAGGGCCAGGGCCAGGGCCAGCATCCCTGCAGGAGCGTGGGCAAGGACCACGGGCAAGAGGCTGGCCTGGGCTGCTGCTCCTGAGCCAACAGGCATAGGCTGCACACGTGGAGGCCCCAGATGAGCCTTCTCATGGCTCTTTCTCACCACTGAGCTGTTTTCACAGAAGTGTGATCCATGGTCACAAGCTGCACCATACCAAAGCAGACCTTGAACACAAACAGCTGAACTCCTGGCTGCAGAGAAGGGATTGCCAGTTAGAATTGCAGGAAAAAGATGGTTACAGGCTGGTCAGTGCAGTTAGAGCCTGCTGGTACACTCAGGGCCCTGACAGCAATTCTCTTCACACAGTAGCTTAGTCACCTAAAAACCCTCCCTGAAAAATCCGAGCATTTGTATTTTGTCAAGAGTGATCCACAGAGGATCTACGCGACAGCTTTACACCCAACGTGCCAACAGAGACAGATGTCGTGACAAGCCATATAATCTCCAGAGCTTTTTCCCCTCAGGTTTTGAAAGGCAAAGCTTCCCTGGAATTTCAGATGGACGTGGAGTACTTAGTGTCCACCCTCTGGTCCTCAGGATGGTATCCAGTGTGCTTCCTCCAGTAGCTCTCCAGTAAAGATCAGGGATTAAGAACTATTTGCTGTCTGTGTGTTTCAGATGTCCTCGACACACCAAGCAGTAATGACATAGCAGCAGTGCAGAAGGCAAAAACTCTGTACAGATCGTGCATAAATGAAAGTAAGTGTCTCCTGAATTTACTGCATATAGGATTTATAAATATCCAAAGAATCCCATCTCCACAGTCAGCTATACCTACATCCTCCTACTTCCTGTGCATAATTTTTCAGAAATTCTTTATGAAAACTAAAATGTATCCAATTCTATAGAGTCAAATAAGAATGTCAATAGTAAAATTAGCATTGTATCTCCTCTTTTTACTAGCTTTGATATTTTAGGTGAGATTGCACTAATCTTCAGTTACTAGTTTGCTGCAGATATTTAAACTCAAATCCTTTCAGTTAAATGTGAGTTAACTTCTTTTCTGGAAATGATCAGGGATGAGGTGAAAAATAACTGGCGTACCAGGCTTCTAGAAACAGGGAGATCACTTATTTCAAGAACTTGAGCTAGATGCTGCCACTAGAATGAGGAGCAGTAAGACAGTCCGCAGTGCCTCCTAAATCACGTTTTTATAGTTTCTATGATGTTATTAATACTCCCCAAAACTATTCTTTCAAGCTATCTGCAGAATGAAAATCAAGAGTTCTTCAGTGTCGTGATCACAAGGATTTGCATATGATGTTTGCAGTCATGACTGAAATGTTTTCAAATTAAATGTTAAAGCACAGCCATACATCAGAGCTTACTCCTCTGGTGGTGACGCTGAAAACTTACTTCTCGGCTTCGTTATTCTGAACTCATTAGGACAGTATAACATTTGTGTGTTTTAAAATGTCACGGTAACTCATTTTATTTTTTCCAAAAGCTACCATTGATAGCAGAGGTGGAAGGCCTTTAATCAGCTTATTGCCAAATGTATCTGACTGGCCTGTAGCAACAACTAACTGGGATTCTTCCTATGGTAAGATAATCTGTGTTTATTTCCTTTACAGTTAAAATTTCTAAATTATTTTACTTTTCATTGCTTACCAAACAGAGAGACTGAGTAAACCTTTCATTTGCTTAGGTACTGCTTGGACAGCTGAGACAGCTATTGCACAGCTGAACTCCAGATACGGAAAAAAGGTCCTCATTAACTTTTTTGTTGGCACAGATGATAAAAATTCCACAGCACATATCATTCATGTAAGTCCTCCTTGTTGATCATAAAAGCACAACAAAATAACCAGGAGCACAGACATAAATGTTAACCAGGAGAAACATCAGGGATTTGAATTCTACCAGAGTAAGTTGTAGATGAATTTGTGAATCTATGTGGTATTCAAACTTAAATTACCAGTTTCACTATGCACTGCTGGTTCTCAAAGTTTACATCTCTGATCTCTGCACTCATACACTGTTACTCTCAGTGAGACGAGAATAACGGAGACGTACAGACACAATTTATGTGTCTGCTGGACAGACAACAGACATGATCTACTTACATACACATGCGAGCAAATAAGTAAACACGATTCCTTACCACGTACTTCGGGCAGAAGACTCTGTCACCGAAACCCTGGGCTGTGCTCCCAATGGCAGGAAGCCCACGAAGGGGGTTGTGTTTTCCCAAGGTTCAGATGCCGAAGCGCTAACGGGACCTGTGGACACTGGCACGGATCGGAAAGGGGCCGAGGGCATTTGCATAAGGAGTTATGTCCAGAGTGCCCTGCCTGTAAACATAAGATGATCTCTGAAAATGGAAAATCCAGAGGAAGACAGTATTACACAGGGTGAATCTGCGCCAGGGACTCCACAGGCACGACAGTTAGGAGAGCAGAGGTCTAATCTTTCTTGTCAGTGGGTAGGCAGACCCTTGACTGCTTCACGTGTATGAATTTCAAAGATGCAGTAACTGCCTCGCTTGTCTGTGGGCTGTTTTGTCTTCTGTACATCCACTGTTTTCACACTGGTTACGCACAGCATGTGTTGTTCAGCAACAGGAAAAAAAAAAAAAGACTGAAAAGACAGGCAAAAAGTAGAGAGAGAGTGAAAAGAATTAATGGAGGGCATTAGTGAATGATGAGCGAAGCATCAGCGACCTGTAATTGGCAGAAGAATAGTACAGTGCCATGCCATTTTGTCCTTAAGCACTTTTTAATTTTTATTTGAATTTACAGATTGATCAGCCTGGGCTTGGCCTGCCCTCTCGTGACTACTATGAGTGCACCGGTGCATACAAAGAGGTAAGGTGAAGCTGACAGATCTCTGGCTGCAGTTTAGAAGTTTTAGCCTGTGTTTTAAAGGGAGGCGTATCCTCAAGACTGAGGATAGGCAAAGAGCAGGAACGGTCCTTCCCCAAAGGGGAAACAGTACTGGGAGAACTGGGGAAACAGCACTGGGAGAACTGGGGAAACTGGGATAGAAAGGTAATAGTGATGAGCATTTAGCCAGGGCTGATCTGCAGGTGAGAACAGTATGTGTGACAGGCTGGAGAAAGAAGTTCTAACATGGGTGAGTGTGCAAGAAGGCAGGAGAGCCAAAAGGGAAGTGAAGAGGATGCAGAGAAACAAGATCAAGGGCAAGTAGAAATACGTTAGGGAAGAACAGGAGGGAGTGGAACAAGTGTGCTGAAGATGAGTGTTACAGTATTTCACCATAAACGTTGGAGACCCAGTCTGAGGCCCCCGGCAGCACCAGGACCCGAGGGGGTGTCGAGCTCCCGCCACTACGGAGCAGTTGTCTCTGCTCTGGCTGGGAGGAAGGCACATTCCTCTGGCAGGCTACACCCCGGGCATCCCAACCTGCCTCCCTTCTCGTCCTTTCCTCTCATAATCACTGAGCATGTATGTAGAAGAAAAGTAGTAACATTTCCATACCATTTCTGTATGACTATTCAAGTCAGAAGAGAACAGCTACTTGCCTTTTTAGGACCTCTTGGAAGGAAATAACCATGAAACAATCTAGCTTTGTTACACAGCTTCTGCCAGGCTTCACAGCCGAGTCAAGAGGCACCTCACAGCTGTCGAAGTTGCATTAGGACAGAATACGAGTGCTTTTGGATCGCCTGTTCTGTCACTACAAAAGGGTGACATTTCTGAACTCTGACTGACTGGTATCAATTGGCAAGTGCTGCAGGTGTCAGTGGAGTCCAGGTGGACTACTCATAGCCCTGTGATATGTGATAGAAAGAAAGAAAGAACCATTAAGAACCAAAGACAGTTTTCTGCGTGAAAGATCTGAGATCAGTCTCCTAAGTCAACAGCTGAAGGAAAATGCAGCAGATAAAGTATGTTGATACCACAGAAATTGCTTCAGATGCCTAAAAATCTCATGTGGTCTTTAATCCCCGTTTAGTTGTTATTCAGACACATGTGCATTACCCTGTTAGCACTGACTGTGTATCCCTTGTTGCTAATCTTGCTTGAGGCACTCGAGAGCTGAAGTGTATGTATTTGCTGAGGTGATGTAGCCGAAACTGCTACCACAGGAACATTTAATCAGCCAGTTTTCTTCTGTGTAATTAAATGCAGAAGCGATGAGAAAGCATACAAAACATTTGGGGGGTTTAGGTATTTTGCTGACATGCTAACAGGTAATACTCTTAATACTGATTACGTTTAATTACAGATCATATGCTAGTAAAGACAATCATTACATCTTAACTGTTCAGTTATGTTATTATCACGTGTGTTATGGCCTCTAGGAGCTGGCTGATGTATCACAATTTGTTCCCTTGTTATTACACCAACTGCAGCACTAAAAGACAATTCCTGGTCTAGTCTGACCTACCTGAAAGTGTCATACTACTTTCTACTGCTGGAATGCAGAGAAGAGAGTATTTTTTTAAAAAAAGAGAGATTTCTCACTGAAAGGCAGACTCATTCTTACAAGCCTGAACACTTCAAGTGAGAGGTGTTCCTCCTTTCAGTCCCTGCTCTCTGCCAGCAGCCTCCTCTTGGCTCTGTTTCCTGCTGTGTCATTCCACTCGGGGAGCTGTACGGAGCAAACAAGGTACCTGCCTCCTGGACCTCAGCCTCTGCCTCTGTCAGCACTTCCCACCACAAAGCTACAAGTGGAATCTGTGAACGAGATATTTTAAAAATATTTTCTCCTGTAAAATATAGGAGTCCTCTGCTCATACAGGAGTTATTCTGACATTTAGGTTCCCACTAAAATATCTGAGAGTATTTATACAGTCCATCTGAAATTAGCTGACAGTTCTTTGCTACCTGACCATACAATGATCTGCACTTTAGGCCAAAAATTAAGTCCATTGATTGGTACCTGACGATCTCTGTTGACTTCCTGGTGTGGAGTTAATATCTGTACTGAATTTTTATAAAGTGTATTTGGATATCTTACATAGACAGTCTTGGCATGCACTCTCTTTTGTGACTTCTTGTAGCTGGCAGTGGTTTCATGGGCTTTTCTCTTCCTGGTAAAATGATCTATCTTGATTAAAAACAATACTGAGAGCTCAGTGCTTCAGGATGCTGTGAGCCACCTGCCTTTCTGCAGTCTGGTGCGGGCCCTTTTGATGAGGTGCTGGGAGCTTTCCAGTGCAGCGCTGCTGGCAGGTGGGGCAGGCTGGCTGCAGACAGGGGGCTGAAGTGCTGCGTCCTGCTGCCCTAGGAGCTGAACATACCAAAACACTGCTGTTGGGAACACGGATGACAGGCACGTCTTGTTAATCCTAGGTTTCATCACTGTTTTAGTAGATCATGCTATTTTGCATAAAATAGATTTATTATTAGATAGCTAATATTAATGTATTTTATTTGCCTTTTAAAAGCAAAACAGCATTTCTGTTGACAGAAAAATGAGCGTGGCTTGAAGAGGAATGAGAATAATACTAAGTCCCATAAAATACAATGAGATCTGTAGATACTGGACAGTGTCACATTTAAGAGAATATACTTCCTATTTCCATTCTTATCCTTGGTGAATTCTGATATGTTAAATTTTATACTATATTGTCTGTGGTGTGTCTAGATACACTAAATTTAGGTACAGCACCATGATTTCTAAATGTTCCAATGTTCTACACTGCTTCTGGGAGTAATTTTCCCACAATGCTAATTCAACACAGTCCATCAGCATTTCTCTCAGTTTTATGTTTCTGGGAACATTGCTCTTTGGAAGGGGTATTTTTGGAAGTTGTAATTAAAGTGAGCTAGAAAAAACATGGGTGATGGTTTAAATATGGACGTACAAATGTCTCATTTTAAATAATGAAAACACAGTGCAGTAGTTGAGACTGTTTAGCTTTGAAGAAATTATGCAGCAATTTTCCATGAGGGAATTTTCAAAGTTAATTTCTATTATCAGAGTAAACGACTATTAAACTATTTAAGAAAGGGATGAAGAACTGTGTAGTTCATAGAAAAGAAGATGAAATCTTAAAGATAATGAAGGTATGCTGTACTTCGGAGAGTTTTGTCTTTAAAATGTTTTGTGTTTTTTCCTGCAGGCATGTTCTGCCTATGTTGATTTCATGATTTCTGTAGCTAAACTAATCCTCCAAGAAAGAAATATTTCTTTCAGTGAGAGCAGTATTTCTGAACAAATGAAAAGAGTTATGGACCTGGAGAAAGAGATTGCCAACGTAAGAAAAACATTTTTAAAGTATCCTTTACATAACTGACTTTGTTGGTAATACCTCAGAAAGCTAACTGTAAGCTGAGTTGTTAAATTACTCGCTAATGTTATTTTGCGGGACCAAAAGCTGACCAAAAATGTGTGGGGCCTGGAACACCTAAGAGAAACACATAATAAGACAGACACGCCTTCTAATGAGCAAGGGAAAATATTTGAGTTAGCTGTTTTCCAAATGGCAGCATGTTTTATCCTGATCTGTTCACAGAAGCCCTTCAAGAGAAGAAAGGGAGAGCAAGAGAGAGACAGACTTGGCTTCCGTTCAGTCTGGTTTAGGAAGCGGGTTTGGGGAGATGCTTTCAGGCCTCCTCTCCCTTCGGCCCGTTCCCCAAGGACCGTTTGGTTATCAGAGCAGTGGATTCCCAACCCTCGGCCTGCCAGGCTGCACAGAGTAGTGTTTGTCCTGCACGAGCTGCTCCGCAGCGCTCACTGTTCCAAGTGCATTTTTAATCACTGTTCTTCATTAAGTATGGCTTGGAGAAACAGCTAGAATTTGAACCTGCATGGAGAAAACAAATGGAAATTCAAGCATTAGCGAGCCAAAACATGGCTTATGATTATTAAACATTTCAGAAGGACCTGAAGCTGAGGATGACCATAAAACAAGATAAACACAAGTTTTCTATCTTCAGCTGTTTCTCAAGTTACATTGATAGTAAGTGCATGTGTTTGGCAGAGGAAGACCTTTCCCCTTGATTTGTATAAACCACAACCATCTGATTTTGATTTTCTTCACATTTTCCTGAGAAACTCACCTCTGGGCTTAGATCAGAGATGGAAAATTATTACAAGAAAAGGAATTCACTGGAGAGAGATTTAAAGGGAAGTACAAAAAGAAACCACAACTGAAAGGTCTCTACAGCAGTTGCTGCTGGTAGAGAGCACAGCTGGTGGTGGGTAAGCTGCTACTGCCTTGGGTTTGGACCTCTTGCATCAAAACCAGCACCAGCCTGAACGTTGCTGAGAGAGCTGGCGTTGTGCTCTTGGGAATTGGTTAAAGAAAACACAGAAGAAAATACTGAATGCACAATAGATTAAGAAAGTGAAAGCTGAAATCTTTTTTAAAAAGGGATAGAGAGATAAAATCAGACTCGCATGACTGATTTTGCAAAACAGTTTAAATGGGTAAAATCTACTCTTCTCACTCCTGAACGAGGCATTTAAGAGTACCCGAGGCAGGGGTGATGTAGGCTCTCCCACGAATTACTCTCACGGATCACAAGATCACTCTTTCCCCATAGTCATTTCTGTACCTGCGTTTTCAATCTCTGCCACCAAAAAAAGTGGAAGTTAAGAGAGGGAGGAGTATGAGGGGAGAAGCACTGATCCTGACACAAGGTACTTCTGCACGAGAACAAAGGTATGAAAGAGGTGACAAGAATGCACTTCAGAAACGCAGAAGCATCCTACAAGGGACACACTGGTGTTTGAGGAAAAGAGCAGAAAGACACCCAGGAGAGTATTCGGAGGCCAAGGGAGCGGTTCCCATGAGGTGCCGGTTTTGTCTCCTCTCAGTCTGCATTGTCCCCACGCCGTTCCAGGGACCTCCCTGCTGACATTTGCTGTCTAGAGACGCCGGTGATTAACTTGCCTCATAAAGCACCACCACAGACACAGGTCCGTGGCAGTCAGCAGTTTTATTGTCTGTAAGAAGCGGCCCCAGTACAGTCATGCCATTCAGGTGTTAATGTGTGCACAGTTTGAACACCCTGGTGCAGAACCACATTGCCCAGCCTAATAAAAACCTTGTTTGAGTTATGAGCTATGATTCCCTTTCTATACAGCGGTTCCAGAAAGTTTGTTGCCAGACAAACAGCACGTGCATCCCGGCCAGGATGCTCACACTGCATTCCCACCGTAGCACATCCCCCTGTACTCCGTGAATACATCTCCTTTATTCCCTTCTCCCAGTATTTTGCTTCTTGCATCATCTCACGAATATCATGAGCATGTTCGTGTGTTGAGTGTATCTGTTGGTAGCAACATCTGCTTAGTGCTTTGAGTGGTATGGGTCTGTGTTCCAACCAGGGCTCCCGCACAGCCCGAGCTGGGGAGGCTCTAACACCAAACAAATCCAGAAAGTAAAGCTTCATTTTACTCTCAGAAATTCAGCTCATTCAATCTGTCCTTTTATATGTTTTTTTACCTACAAAACGCTGTCCATATTTACATGTAAGTACTTTACAGTTAATGCAAACTTATATTTTAAGCCAGAAATACTAATTTTCTTTCTTTTTACTTCCACCTATCAAATTCCTGTGAACTGACTCAGTGTAGTTAATAATTTCCTCATTATTAACTTTGATAGGCAACAACAAAATCTGAAGACAGAAACGATCCACTTCTGCTGTACAATAAAATGACCTTGGCACAACTCCAAAACAACTTCTCACTGGAAATCGATCATAAGGTGAGCGATCAGTAATCTGATATTTTAACTTCTGATTTATGACTGATGAGATTAAACAATGAAGCCTGACTTTTTCCTTTTAGAGACATTTCTTTCTTGAGCTTAGATATATTTGAAATTGAACAGGATACCTGAGGTACACACAATATTACCTAAACATCTGATGATATTAAACTGTATGTAGAAGGCTGTGCTTTGGTACCCACTGCTGCTCCTAACTTGAAGGCAGATCTCGCCCTCTGCTTCAGCAGAAAGAGGTGGAAAAGGACAAGGGGAAAAAAATCATGGTAAACCTTGCGAAACTTGCACATATATAACCCTTGCTGCAAACCAGGAGAGTATCCTTTGCAGAGTACAAATAAGTTCCCTTCCTAATTACCTAATTGCTAATTACCACAGCAGCTCCAAAGAGCCCAGGACAAAAGTTAAGACTGTAGCCACCAGTTGATTCAAATACATCGTAGTATGACTATTCAGACACTCTCTGTTTATCCAGAGCTGCAGATTCAGAAAAAAAAAGTCACTTTTCCAGCAGTCCCTCAGTCAGACGGGCTCCCAAAGCAAGCAGAAAGGAGCCCAGGCAGTCACGCCTAGGAATCAGGAAAATCCTCCCCATTCCTCCCACTGAAGCTCCCCCAGGATGTTTCAGCTCTGCCTTTTCCCTCAGCCTGAGCCACGTGCCATTTGTGCAGCATGACCTTTAATTCACGGCACCACAAAGTCCTGCTACAGAACAGCCAAAGACTTGGTAACATCGGCGTGCCTGCTCAGTGCCATCAGCCCCCACAGACATGGATGGTTTCCATCATAAATGACTCCCCGCTCAGCTCCTGGCCCCCAGGCAGGCAGGGTAGCACTGCGTGTGCACTGTGGCCTCCCTGGCAGGACTGCGTTATTGAGTCTTCTGAGGCCAGCAAGGTACTCTGAATCTCATTGTTCTTACCACAGTTTCATAACCACTGCTATTTTTATTGACTAAGTTCTTCAACTTTAAATTCTATGGCAGTTCACTTCTGCCTAGCTTAATTTGTTTCATAATTTCCCTTCCCCTGCAGGTCTTAGTTGAACAGCTACCATTACAGTCATACTGTCAGAAACTAGCTTCTCCTGTCACAGAATGGTATTGCCCTGGTTATTTTTAGTTCCTGGGGAGTGCTGCAGATCAGCAATAATCATCTGCTCTAAATTTATCCAAAAATGCTCAAAAGACACATGATGGGAGTTGGTAGCGTTGTTGTAATGGTCTAAGCATAGAACAGCAATTATTCCTAAGATTAGCTTGAAGTTTGCTGCTTCTCTTTCAAACCTGAAGTGATTCTATTCCTGAAAGCTTATCTGCTTTCCTCAGCCACAATAATTTGTCTGATGAAAGACATTACCTCTTCCAATAAAACTTTCCTCTCAGAAGATACAGACTAGGAAAAATCACCAATACTTTTCAAAGTAATAGGCACAACAAAAATTTTAAAAATCAATGAAAAAAAAAAAGTACAAAGATTATTTGCTTTTCTTAAATGTAATGCCTTCCTTTTCATTACTAAACTGAGCACCTAACCAGTGTGGTAAAAGCACTGAGTAGCTCTAAGGGTTTTGATGATCATTTTCATCTGCTCTGAATCATTTTCTCAGTCAAGCAGTGATCCACAGCGGCCACGGATTAGGAAACCTTGGGCCAACGTGGAGAATCTGAAGCAGTGTATGTAGAGTTAGCTGTAACATCAGTGTCATTTACTCAAGAAGTGAACAGAGGGATTGAAGGAAGACGTAACCCTGTGCAGACTGCAGTGTCTGAGCCGAAGGAGCGCTCTCAGCTGGTATCGTACAGAGCAGGACAAGTAACACGCTGCATGCTTGTGCAAATACTTCCCGTGACATCAGCTGGAGGTGTGACCTTGCTGGCTAGGGGGCACGCAGAGGTTACAACCTCCCGTTAGTACTACTCTGTTGCTCTGGGCCCCTTCGCCAGACCCCGGCTCTGCTCGCAGGAGGCCAGAGCAGACCCGGGTCTCCAGTCAGGCCTTTCCCCATCTGCTGTCTGAGGCACGTGATATTCCCGACCAAAGACTTACCAAAGGGAAATTCTTATCAGCAAACTTGTAAGAGTTTCCAGTTCAGAGTGCCCACTCACTAAAATAATGCTCTCTTCAGGCTAGACAGACACGACAGAATGAAAACTTAACAGAAAATGCCTTCATGGGTACTGGGTCATGCAAGTTCTGTGGGCCCCTCATGAAAGAAAATGGGCATTTAGGACTGGAGAGACAGAAAAGAACAAGAACTCTGACCTTTGTCTGAGACTTGTCTGTCACAGCATGCTGCAGACTGGCCTGCTGTCGAATCGGCTGCTTCTCCAGTACCTGGTACGGTGGCATGCAGAGGAAAATTCATTACAGATAGTGGATTTAGTGTCTCTGTTTTAAAGCCTATTAAAATAAATCCTTTTATGGACTTCAGTGTACCTCAGAACAAGTCCTTACCATATGCTTCAGCATGGATTGCCAAGTATACCACAAATCTTACCACCCCATAGGTACAGAGACAGACTGTACTGAAAATCAGGTTTTTAGCCAAATACAGCCAAAAGGCAACTGAAATTTTACTTAATATACTGTTTCTGCTTTTCCAGGCTAAAAGAAAGAGGTCATAACACTTTAAATTGTGTTAGTCTGAAATCAAAACAACGTCTCGACCTTTTCTGCTAAATACCACCCTATTCTAATAGGATTGTAGGATATAAATTATCTCGGATATGGCTCCACTTACAAGTAGTGCAGCTAGTAGGAAAAGTAAAGGCAGAGCATTTGTGTTAGGCAAACATACTTAAACTGGAAAAAAACCAGCTAAATACTGTTCCTGTGTGATTTAACCATATAATAACGCATATTGATTTTCCAGGCATTCAACTGGTCAAAATTCATAAATGATATAATGTCAACTGTACAGATTAATGTTGAGAACACCGAACATGTCATTGTTTATGATCCAGAATACCTTATCAGGCTGAAGTCTATTCTTAATAAATACACTCCCAGGTAGGTATGTAGGTATGTAATTTGCATTTTATTTCCAACAAACTTAAAAAGCCTAAAAACATTACCAGCTCGTTATTGTTTTTTTTGTTAACCAGAGATCTTCAGAATTACATGACCTGGCGATTTGTAATGGATCTTGTCAACAGCCTCAGCCGTAACTACAAGGACACAAGGAATGCTTTTCGTAAGGTGCAGAAATTAATCCCTTTTTAAGTTGTAAAGATGATCTGTGTGGATTTTTAAATGTACTTGTAGTATATAAAAATGTAATGTCTTTTGAATTTTGCCCAGAAAAGCTAGATGTGTTTGCTGAAGCTTCGGGAGCGTACACGTAATTTATACGGTATGTGCTTGATAGCTGGAGTGGATTTGACAAGTACTGTTCTGATCCTTGGTCTCTGTGTTTTTCTGAACCTAAATTAATCCCCACTTTGATAACAGAACAGTCCCATTGATTTGAAAATGATTATTCTACAGTTCTGTTTGATTTGGTACAAGCTCTTCAGCATCCAGAGTAATACATTCAAAGTCAAACATTATGGGCCTGATCTTGATTTTGAAACATTTGATCCTGCAGATATTTTAGTGCTTTCAAGGAAATGCTGAGCAGTTTCACAAACAGATTGGAGAAGTCCTTTGTATTTCCACAGTAGAACTTCATACTCTTAAAGTTTGCTCAGCTCCATTAAAAAAGGTTAATGCCATTTTGTTATATCTGCTAGTGACAAAAGAAATACAAAAGAAATACTTTAACACACATATGGAGCTTTTTAAGGAGACTGTGTCTGGTCAGTTTTATCTTTCTGAACAGGGCAGTCTTACTCATTGATTATTTGGCTTTTTCTCCTAGTCTTTAAAGTTTGAAACTATTGTAATATAAAGCTTCATATTTGCTTAGTCTACATCATCAGGGAATACTACACTTTGCACTCTCTAAACTAAAGTCATCACCCACAACACCTTAGGACTTCACTGAGGAATTTTCATTTTGAAAAATGCCAAAGTTTGAAAGAACAACAGAAAAAGATTTTACCATAGTCTGTGTATAAAAACATACCATTGTCTGCTAATTAATAACACGTGCTACAGTATAGCTGGAGCTTCTCACACCAAATGCAGTGCAAATAGATTAGCATTTGTCTTGTTAAGTTTGCTTTCAGATGTAAACGTGAGGACAGTTACGTCATTCCACAAGTCTCCCATACCATTGGTTTTTTTCTGGGTTGTGTGGCTAATTGGTCACTTATTCAAAACTTTGCTTTAAATACAGATTGCTCAAAATGTGCTACAGAAAGTGCCAGAGTCCTAGCAGAAAGATCACTGGATCTGCAACCAATTCCTTAAGGAATCAGCAAACAGACCTCGCTGACGTGACCAGACTGCACATGCAGACAGGCCTCACGTGTTGCTGAGGGGCTGTGCTGCCACTCTCGACCACTTACCTTTGGTTCTCCATCTCAAGGTCAAATTGTCAGTTTTCCCTGTAACATTTCTTCAAAATTGTGCCCTTCCAGCCGATGGACTGTCAGGAAGCCCAGGTGTGGGGGTGCACAGCTATTGCAACTGTATCCTCAGGATACAATTACTCCCACCAAAAAAAAAAAGCATCAGTATCTTTCTTTTCTTGCAAGATTTCTTTAAACAGAAAAAAACCTGTTCCCTACAATGTTGTAGTTGAGAATTTATGCCCCAAGAGATCAGGTGTAATTTCAGATACAACAGCACAGTAATGCATTTTAACTGCATGTTATTTTTACTAATAAGCGGGTAAGTTTCTGTTGCTGTAGAAAGCACCGCTTTGGTTTTCTTGTGCACCTCTGGTGACACTAGGCTCTCTTAAAAAGGGAAGGGCAATCCTGGCCTGATGCAGGTCCCCCACGGGCTCGAGCAGCCTCTACCCAAGGGGCCAATGACTGCCTAGGGTAAGCCTGAGCAGCACAAAGGGATCTAACAGAATCTTCATTGCATAGTCATTCTGAGTTAGTTATTATTTTAATTAAATTCAGTACTGCTAATGTTCATTACTAGTTTTGCTTTAAGTTCCGGGGGAGAGGGGTTGTATTTACTTTTCCTATATAAGCTTTTGCCATGTAAGCAGATGACTACTGAGCCGCCTGTTTGTGTGGGGGGGGGATCTAGGAGAGAAACAGATGAAGGACGGGCAGATTTTTCTAGTCTATTCAGCTATTTGTCAGTAAGGAGTTACAGAAAGCTCCAGCATCACTCTTCAGGCTCTTCAGGGAGACCTGCAGTAGACTCCTCTGTGCTGTGCTGTGCTGGTAACATTTTCAAAACACCATTCCTGTGTGCCTAATGCTTTAGGGTGAAAAGAAACGTTTTCCTAGTACTGCAGTTCAAGGTGTAGCAGTTACAGAGCTTTTAACACCAGAAGTCACTGATCTGTACCTCTGAAGAGATGTGTAACTGCTTCATTAATGAATATAAACTTCATTATAGAGTGTGATTTCAGAGAGCTGCCCTGTGGTGACACTGTCTGCTGTATTCCTTGCGTTCAGGAGTCACACTATTGTATTATCCACTCAGCTTTATCACATATTTACTCATTATCATGACAAAATCCTTGCATACCTTGTAGCAACATCACACAGAGTAGATGAGCTTCTACTTTGCAGACTCCTGAAGGTGGGAGGCTCTGACAGAAGCTGCGGGTTGGGTAGAAAACACAATCTTCCCACTGCAGAAATTAACCTGCTGCGTAATCACCATGGCCCTGTCAGAGCTGGACCTGCAATACGGATCCCTGTAACAGCGAAAGCTTTGTGTCAGGGTAGTTCTCTTTAACCTCTCCCATCCCCAGCTTTTAAAGTTCCTCTCTACTTTTCGTGTTTTGCAAGGATAAAGAACATTGCTACTGATTCTTGTATTTCCTCAGCCTGTGACAGCTGTTCCCATCACACCTACCTGCCCCAAACCCAGATGTGAATTAAATGCAGGTGTTTCAGGGCGACTGGGCTCCTCTGAAACACACATCCGCCAGGCACTCGCCGTTCTCCTTCATTTCACTCAGGGCCTGGTGTCACTCTTTTACCTGACGTTTCTGCTTCGCAGGCACTTTACGGCACAACGTCAGAAACTGCTGTTTGGCGTCGCTGCGCAAACTACGTCAACGGCAACATGGAGAGCGCGGTGGGGCGGCTGTACGTGGAGGAGGCGTTTGCTGGAGACAGTAAACACGTGGTAAAGCTTTTAGCAACCTCAGCCCGTGTGCCATCTAAGCCTCACTTACTGTCACCACGCTGTTCTTTACACAGCTTTGATCACTTTTGATTAACCTTTTCTCGACAGCAGGTCACTGCCTAGGCCCCCGATGTTTCAGGGTCCGCTGCGGAGCAGCAAGCATGTCGGTGCTGGGAGAGTCGCTCCTTTGCTCCGAAGTCCATGGTGTTACTGGCCTTGCACCAGCCTGCCTTCCAGCAGGCCACCAGTGGGAAACAACACCCGAAACACAGAGATGGCATGTGGGCACCTGGAGGGGGGGAGGCACCTGCCTGCTCCACCCCTTCCGTGAGCTCCAGCCTCTCCCCGCGGGCAGGTGGCCACGGGCCGCGCGAGCCAGCCCCGACGCCGGGGAGCGGCACTTACCGACGGGACCCTCGCTGCGGGTTCTTCCAGACTGGCACTACATCACATCCTGCCAACGTGGGGCGCAGGCACAATCGGCTGCTGCTGTTTGTCTTCAGTCACACACAAAATTGCTGAAAATTAACCCGAAATTAAGCCTTAGTTAATGCCTATTGGTCCTACTGTAATCCAGGCTTAAGATACACCATTTTTTGGGGGGTTGACATGTACACCATAATTTGATCAGATGCACAACATCCAACGGACGGTCATCTCTCAGGTTTTCTGTAACCTGAATAACTAAATTGCATTGCCCCATGACTCAGGGCCATCCCCTTTCCTCTCACAGGACAGGCTAAACATTCTACTTAACTTGAGCGCCAGGCTCTGAGCGTGGCCCATAAAGAGCATATGCTCAAGCAGCTGGTGCAGGAGATCCAAGTCTGTAATAAACAAACTATAAGTGTGGAAAAATGGATCATTTTACATGGATTTATAACATTCTGATGTTTTTTCCAAGGTTGAGGAAATGATTGCAGATATACGTGATGTTTTTATAAAAACTTTAGATGAACTTACCTGGATGGATGCAGAAACCAAAAAGAAAGCAGAACAAAAAGTAAGTTAAATCTTGTGTTTCTATAAAAATCAGCATTTCAATTGTTTTTCTTGAAAAAAAAAAAAGCGTAACATCTATCACTATTTTATATATACAAACCAACTTATATCTGTGTTCCTATCAGCACAGCAGCTCAGAGACTTCCTGTAGGAGATCCAGGTTACACGGGAAGGGGCCTCTGTGGGGATAAGCACACAAAATAGGAAGAATATATGTACAAGGTTAAGACCTTCCAGGCAAACTGGTGATTAAGGGGCTAGATAATGAATATCTACCAGGAAGTAATACTGAAAATGAGAAGGAATGACTTGTGGTGCTTTGACCAGCTCTTAGGAGCAATAGGCCAAGAACAAAAGTCGAACCACAGGCTGGACGGCATCAGTGAGTTCTCTTTCCCGGGAAGACGCAGCTTCAGACAGTTCATGTAATTCTGGAGTAACAGAAATCAACTGTAGAGAGCCCTGAACTGGGAGTGAAGCAACTGAAAGAAGTATTTATTACATCTCTGTTTTGTTAAATGGTAGAGATAATAACGAATCTTCAATTCTGTATTTTTGATTATAATTTTAAAATAAAATTTAATATTAGAAAATCTTGGAAAATATAATGGGCTTATTAATTATAAAGTAGGACCTAGATTTTCCTCCAGATTCTTGGTTAGAAAAAAAACATTTAAAATAACTATCCAAATATTAGCGGTTTATCAAACAATTCTAGACTATATAGCCTGCAAAAAGCTACAAATGCAACAGATTGCTGAGACAGTCACAGCATCCAGTGGGCTTATACTGATTCTGGTGTGCTCAGACAGCACAGGTACAGTTGTTGAACTGGTGCTGATGTGCCTTCCTAGTGCTGTTGCTGTAGGTACACACTGATCAGATCCAACCACACAGGAACTTCAGACCAGGAAAGGCAGCGTAAGGCAGGCAGCAAACCGAAAACCCAAAACATTTCCCTACTATGATGAGACACAGACAGTGTATGTACAAAGTCTAGGCGATACTTCCACTGTTATGAACAATTTATTTGCCAAAATGACATGCAAACTGCCTGAAAAGCTAGGATCAGAAACCTACACATGCTCCGTGTGTTGCCTATAATGCTCAGTTGTTTGTGGGAATAGCCTACATCACAAAATTATTTGTATAAATAATGTGATTTTACTGCTAAATTTATTAAGATGAATATATATGGAAATGGTAGAAAGAATTGCTAAAGAATCATTTGTTCTATGTTTTTTTTAATTACTCCTGACGTTGCCATCAAATACAAAGCAATATTTAGCTATCAGAGGACACTGAGTAAGGGTTGGTTTGAAAAACTTTGTTCAGGACTTAAATTGTCAAAATTTGGGAACATTTTTTTAAAAAAAGTATTTTACTCCAATGTAGAAGTGGGAGCTAGTTATGAAATACGGATACAGCCCCAAACTCAAGTCAAACTGTACACATTTCTGGAAATCTGTAAAATGTGTTTTCCTATAATGTGCTGAAGTTAAAAAAACATCCAGTTAATAATCTTATTTCTGTTTTGGATGCTGTAAAATACGTCAAATATTTCAGGATTTCTACTATTTGTTTAAACCAGCCTTTCAACTCAAAAGCATAGCTGAGTCGTGTTTGGCTGCCTTGTGCACATCTCTGCAAGTTTACTCACAAAGGAAGGAACAGAACATACTTTTATAATTAACCACAAATTTTACAGTGCTTTTGATTAATTAGAAAATGTAAACAAAAGCTATATATAATGAACATACTGGGGTTTCTGCAGTTGCTTCCACACAGCATTCATTAGATAATTTATGATTGATTTAAAAATATGGCTGGATTTGCTCTGCATATCAAATTATCTTGTCCCTAGGCAACAGCAATTAGAGAGAGGATTGGTTATCCAGATGAGATCGTGACTGATGACAATAAGCTGAACAGCGAGTACCAGGAGGTGAGTATCCACAACGGGTGCTATAATCAGAAATGGGTCTTAAGTGAAGAAATTGTGAACTTGCCTTCACAGCCAAACCAGATGCATGTGCAGAGAAGAACTCAGCCCTGTGCTCAGCTGCATGGCTGCACATAAGGCTGTGTGGGAAGCCAGGGTGGTACAGCTGATCTAGTGCAGGTGGTGGTACGTGTTTGGTGGTATTTCAAGGGAAGGTACAGATTCTAGAGGAATTGTGCTGGAATAAAACATGGAGCCAACGGTGTTCAGTATTTCTAAATCCGCTACGGATTGGCATACCACTGGTTAAGCGGATGCAGGTACCCGTAGCTTCCTAACTGTGCCTCTCTATCCATGGGTTGGAATTACTCCCTGAAGTGTGATTTAAACCGCATCTGAGCTTCTTCACTGCACAATGTGACCCCAGCATTCTTTCACCCTGTAGGTTCATTTGTAGGAGCAATTCCATTCGTGTATTGAGTATGTTCAGGCAGAACATGTCTTAGAAGTCTAAGTTTTAATTTTGAAAAACAGGGACATATAACCAAAGTATGTGTTTTAAAACACCATTTGAGCCTTATTCATGTGTTCTTTCTGGGGTGGAATTGCAGCTTACCAAGCTGGCACCTCCCAGAGGTTAGGGTCAAAACCCACAAATGCTGAACTCCACTCAAAATATATATAAAAAGAGGGAATAAAGATCTCTGAAAAAAAAAATATACAGCTGCTAACCTATATCCAGCTACAATATCAGCTCTGTGATGTAGCAGAGCACTGCAAACCAAGTTCTAATTGTAGATCAAACAATGCGTTGCTTAGCTCATCACGCTGAAGACTAGATTTTCCAGATCCATGTGATTTCTATTGCAAATCAGTAACACCACCACTAAGTACTTTTCCCTCTTTCTTTTTAGTTGAACTACAAAGAAGAAGAATACTTTGAAAACATTATTCAAAACTTAGTATTTACCCAGAAGAAAAGGTTGAAAAAACTCAGAGAAAAGGTGGACAAAGAGGAGTAAGTATTTAAAAATACTGTGTATAGTCTTTCACCCAGTTTCCACTGGAGGAAGTACTTGGAGGGTTGTCAGTGATGATTTAATGACCTTCCTGCTGCACTTCTTCCTCCGTGAAGCGGGCAGGGGAGAGGGCATTGCTCGTTCCTCAAAGGCTGCAAGTAGGGCAAAGAAACTGGGAGATGGTGTACAAGGTTAAGTGTTCTGGAGCAGGTCTAGTCTGGTCTCAGCTCCCGGAGTGGATTAAGTGGACTCCTGGAGAGCAGCTTTTTAATTAAGTTCATCTGAAAGATGAATTTCATCCCCGAGAATTTCATTTCTCTTGCTCAGAGACTGCATGAGAAAAGAGAAAGCAGATTAAATGAGGATGAGCAGGAATTTACTTCAGAAATGTGCTCCCGCTCTAAATTAAAGTATTAATGTAGAATGTAGATGCACCAAAAGACTGATGTGGCACATTCCCTAGAGCTGTACTGGCTACTCCTCCTGTCTCAGCGCTGACCCATTTGGAAGTCAGTTTAAACCAAAGCAGAAAAATGACTGTGGTCACCACAGGCTTCGCTAACTTTGCAAGACTGTTCACTTGAATAAGGGCTGCCAAGCTGGGTTTACGTTGAGGGGAGGGTAAGAGAACTAGCTTTGTACAGCCTGAAAAAGAAAATACTACGGGCAGCTCTTAGTGCTGACTTCAACTACCTAATGGGAGGCGGTACAGAGAAGCCTGATGTCTGGAGATGCACCGTGATAGGACAGGTGGGAAGAGACACAAGCTGGAACATGCAAAAGTCTGACTAGATGTTAGGAAAAACTCTTCACCATGCGGGGGGTCAAACAAGACGCAGAGAGGTTGTGAGATCTCCCAATCTCATCCTTGGAGGTACTCAAATCAGCAACGGACAAGCTTCTGAGCAACTGATCTGGTTAGCTTCACGTGGGCCGTGTGACTTCTGGAGATCCTTTTTACCTACATTATTCTATGATTCTACGTTTCTATTTTTAATTACTTTATCATTTTCACAATGTTCCAGAATTTTTTAAGAAAAAAAAAAATCAGACTCTGTTCAGACTCTTTCTAATCAGTCATCTTGCATCTTCAAGCTCTCACATCTATTCATCAGAAGGTGAATATATACTTCACACCTCTGGAATGACCACCATGAACGTCCCAAGTACTATGTCATAGCTTTCCAGAGCTATAGTCATTGTTGTGGATAAATAGTTCCAATGTTGCTTTTGCTGTTCTGTATTTACATATCATTAACTGAAAGTTTATGGTCCACCTAGCAGCCACCTCAGTTCCGCTCTATTTTAACTTCAAGCTGTGTTTAGGTTTGGCTTGTTCAGTTCCTTCAGCTCGATTTAACACAACTCCCATTTCGTTGTCACAGGTGCGTATTAGTTAGGAGTGACTACCATAAGTTTAATTGCATTCAGAGATTACCTAAAGTGAACCACAACTGATTATCCTCTGACAGTTATAATTTATTCTGCAAATTAATTTTCACTTAATCAAGCAATAGCCACTGTTAGTATACTTTGCTTTGCTTGTGATTGGCATATGCAATCGTTACCAAATCACTCATTTATCACAGAGATTAGTTTCACCTGGAGAGCACAGACCCAGCAAATACAACTTCACAACAGCTGTGTAAGGCCTACCTATCTTATTTTGTAGCACCATTATCTCATGTTCTCTGACATCTTTTGTGAAGTGTTATTGAACGTGTACAGCCATGACCCCCATCCAAACACTAGCCCTGCTTGTCATTCTAGGAATTTCATCAGGTGATCACTGAGGAAAGCTAATAAAATTGTAAACTAGGAAAAAAGAGTTAAAACTCATTATTTCTGTGGACCCAAAAGTAACGCTGAGCGCTTTCATCGAGGAAAGTAGGTATTAGTTAAATTAAACCACAGGACTGTGAATCAAGCTGTGCCTCTGCCACAAGAGCTCACGATGACCTTTGCACGCACCTTCATTCCTCAAGAAATTGTGTTAAGGAAGAAATTGTAATAGTCTCAAATGTTGTACTCATAATGTTCTGCTATTTGAGACAGCTGGATACACGGTAATGAGAAGTGACCCCGAAATCCTTTTAAGCGAGCAGTCTTAAAAAAAGTTCCACTATTCCCAGACGTTTAAGATACCATCATAACCTCATGTTCTGTGTTTCAGTTTATTTATAGGGGAAATTTTTTTTATAATGCTGCAGTATGGGTGGAAATAGAAACAAAACCTAAGTATCGTTGTTAATCAGTTTGGATAACAAAGGGAAAGAGCTACTGAAGCGATTAAGGGACTGGAGTGTCTGACATGTGATGAGAGGCTGAGCGCACTGGGGCGTTGGACTTGATCTCCAGAAGTACCTTCCAACCTCCATTACTCTGTGATTCTGTAATTCATCTTCTAGGTTTGTTCCAGTAATCATTAACTCTGCCATTAAGGACTGAAATTCTAACATTTATTCTTCTGTTGTTACTAGGTGGATAAGTGGAGCTGCTGTTGTCAACGCTTTTTATTCAGCAAGCAGAAATCAAATAGGTAAGGTTTAACTTTCTAACTGATACAGATTTAACAGCCAAATTATTTATATGTGTATTTTTAAAATCAAGAAGTGAAACAATCTTATGAGCATTGCAGAAGCACTTCAGTGCAGCAAAATCAGAGGTTTCATTCACAGTGTTTTCATCTCCTCGTGTTCTGAACTGCCTTTGTGCAGAACCGGGACAGAGGCTTGGGATTCAGCCATGAGAAGAACAGCAGTGTGGAGTAGCTAAAAGTTTAATCATCAAGTAAATTTGGTGGCCCCAGCCTTTTGGGTTTTAAAGGGTGAATAGAGAGCACAGGACCAATTTTACCTGAAGGAAACACTGACTAAAAGAAAATCGTGGAGCTTCCTGCCACTGAGTGCAGGTGGCTTCCATTCCTTACAGCCCCCCCAGGAGCCCTTTGCAGAAGCCTCTCCAGTACAGCTTTGGGAAGGCTGCTGTTCCATCCTGCTGGCTAACGAACACACCAGCCACTGAGCAAAGTGCCCAGAATCCCGTAACATTTCACGTGACAGGCCAGAATCACAGAGCCCCACCCTTGGTCTCACCAAGCACTATGCTTTGCTTTCCTTAAGGAGAATTACAGAGTGAGACCAGCCCCAAACAAGTGTGGTATTATCAAGGCAACAAATGTTCTGCATTTGATGATGAAATAACGCTGAAATAATAGTGCAAACCCCAGCTTATTCTCAGCTTCCGTTTCCTCATCTCCACACGTTCCCACTCGCGGGTGTAAGATCAATGCTTAGGAGACAGGCTGCAGCCGTCGGCCTCCCCTGCGCTGCGCTGAGCCAGCGTGTGCCCCGTGGCACAGGCCCGGGAGCTCAGGGAGCTGCTCCGGGAGCCTCCGGTCCCTGGGACAGAGCTGCCTCAGGTCCCAGGCAGGCAGAAACCCTACACGGCTCTGTCACCACCTTCTGCACGTAAAAATGATCATGGCAATTGGAACAAAGCATTAGGGGCTCGCTGAAACCAGCACTTCCCAAAAGACAAAGAAGTCAGAAAACCTCTCACCAGCTATCTTATCTATAGCACTTCAGGACCTAATTATGAACCACAGCACGAGAGCTCCATACTACTATTACTTTAAGTAGTGCCATTTAAATTGCAAGGCTTAAGTGTTAGCTATCTTAAACGCCAAGCCCTAACATACATTCTCTCACACATGACTTAAGAAAAGCTTAAGGAATTTTGAGTCATCCTTAATTCCTGTCCTTATGATTTAAAGTCTGCCAGATGACTTCCAGCTCCCTGTCTGACCTGTCATTTAATTCTGCTTGGTTTGTCTTGGAAGAATGAAAATGGAAACCTGGTAGATTAAACCAAGGAAAAAAATACAATTTTAAAAGTAAGAGAAAAGTTCAGTACAACAAAATAGTTTCCATAATGCTTTTGATTATAAATGTTTCTAAGGCCAGCTTACCCAAAACCACCAATGGTTAAAAATAACTTAAAAGAGAAAGCATTAAAATGCTTTTAAAGAAATAATAAAAAAAATAAATCCATTATAGCTAAAGATTAGAACTGCATGGAAGCTCTGAGGTTTCTCATCATCTGAACCGTACCAGCTCTTCACAGTGGTGCGGCCTTTCGGGGGTCACAAAACATTTTACAACATTAATTATGCCTCTCAATATTCATCATACCCATTCTGCAAATATTGCTATTACCCACATGTCATAAATTGCCGTGTCCTTTCTAAGCCATTAGTGAGGTGCTATGGATCCACATGTAACTCCTGAAAACAAGTCTCTCAAAAAATGAAACACCTTGTCCCGCAGGCTCTGCACAGAAATGAAGCAATATTGTTTCTTACTTATTTAAGAGGCTCCCAAAGAAAATATTTGGTGGGGATGTTATTTTCATTGCCAGGGATGAAATTAGCCCTTGTTTTCAGTCATCAGTAATGGCTTCTGACATAGACCCATGACTTTTATCAAACGAACCATTAAGGTGATAAACATCACGTACCCTCTTCCACCGGGCTCTTATAACACCGGTGTCAAAACCAGTGTCACTGACCTGCAAGACTGCTGCAGGAGCCCAGAAGTCAGGGGCAGCTTCACTCTGGGCCCAGGTACGGGCGTATCACGCGGCACAAAGCCCTGCGGCTCAGCTCCCAGCGCAGCTGCGCTAGGCAAGTGCAGGCAGTTTTCTCCCGCTTTTCACAGGGTGTGTTAATACAGCACACCAACATTTTCACAATCGGTGTCTTCTGTGGAAAAAAAAAAAAGTTCATTTAGCACCTCCAATACGTAAGTCTTGCTCTGAGAGTGCAGGTTTAAAGGAATAGCATCAGGTTTGTAAGGGAAGAAAACAAAAAACTAAGCCAAGCTTTCCAAAAGCATTTTTCCTTTTTAATTATTTCTGTCCTCAGTGAAGAATTGAAGAAGATAAAAAAAGTCCCACGGTCCTAGATTTTCAGATTTTACTGAGTCAGGTGATCTGTTAAGCAGACTTCTGCAAACATGATCCTGACTTCTACGAGCCGCCTGTGCCTTTGCAATAACTTGCACTTCTGGAATCCCAGAGCACACTGGTTTGGGCACGGTGGGACCACAGCAGTGTCAGCCCCAGCATTGTGCCGGCAAGAATGAGGCAGCCACGGAGAAAACTCCAGGTATTGGCGCAGTCAAACAAACAGGACAAGAGGAAACAGCCCACTGCAAACGGTGCTGTTTGTGTAGGAATTCAGCAGCTACAACACTCACCTACATCTAGGTTTCGTGTCCTAGTCAAAACTTTGGTGGTGTTTGCCAAGGCTCATGAACTTTTCTGGTTAACCCAAACTGTTCTGGCTTTGCAGTGGGCTCTGAAGGTTAAACACGAAGTAGCATCGTGAGATCCACAACACACTTCACAGAGACAAAACTCTGCTGACTCACCCGTCCTGCGCTTGGGTAGGGATGGCAAGACAGTTTGGCAGGTGGTAAAGCTAAAGGAGCACTGAGCTCATTACTGACCATTTAGCACAAGAATCTGCCCAGGAGGCTTTGTTTAAAATACCTTTGCTCAGTAATTCACAGAAAAAGAATCATGATTTGGGAGACTGAAACTAGTGACTGGCAGTTAATAGGAACTACAAATTCTTACATCATCCTTTAGCTATGGCATGCCACAGGATAATTAAAGCAGTCTGATCTTTAGAGTGATGTCTGAATTATGCTTTTACAAAATAAAACATCCCCTCTAAAGAGGAGTTCTGTGGATGATGTTTAGGAAATTTAGAGATCTATTATTACATTTTAATATGGTCTGGTGTTCACTGTTCCAGCAGCAGCAGCACTGATCATAAGAAAGCCTCTCAACCTCAAAAAAATCAGCTGAGCTGCTGCTAGAAAGGTCACCCACCATGTGTTCTTTAGGCTCCAGCTCCCTCCGGGCCCCGGCAGGGCCGCAGCATTGCCCTGGGGGGGCCTCTGCAGCACAGCCCATCCTGGTAAAGGCAGCGCTGTTCTCAGCCACGTCCCAGGAGAAGAGCAGCGTGTTTTCTTTTCACCAGGGCTGCCCAGACCGGAGGGAAATACTTTCTGCCTTTACGTGCCTTGGCTGTTCACACAGCTGAGAAGTGCACTCTGCCCTCCAGACCCCAAGGCAGCTGTGCTTCTCTCCTTTAGATCTTCACTTGAAACGTCTCCCACTGGGGGAGAAGCACCTGTGCACTCTGCCCACTTCAGACCTGTATGATGTAACAAAAGTCACAGAATGAGCTGCTTTCAGAAAGGTGGAGTTAAAAATAAGTAAGATCTATGAATTCTGGCATTTTACTCTAAAAATGGATGAGGTGACAAGGTGTTAAGCTGAACTGAAAGTCCTGGGGAACCGTCTGCCTTCAGGGAGGGAAGATGGTCCCGTGGTGCCAAGCAGCAAGGCTGAGCCCAGGCGAGTTCCTGCTGGGAGGTCAGAGGCCAGGGGCACCGGGCACATCCCTCCTGGCGGCAGCAGGGTTGGCTCCTGCTGCCCGTCACCCAGGCAGGCATTTCCACTGTCTACTATCAACATTTCTGGTAATAGCATCAGAGCATTTGGATATTTCATTCCATACCAAGCTAACAGTGCCACAGAACTACTGTGACAGTAGGCAGCACTTCACACACAACAGCGGGAAGAGGTTTTTCCCTAACCCGTTCAGTATTTTTTAATTTTCCCATGGTTCTTTCTCCTCTTGAAAGAAACTTCTAAAACCATACTGGATTTATGCTGAAACGCAAGAAGTATCTGTTTTCTTTCTTTTGTTGTGTGAAAACTGTCATCCAGTTCCTCGGTTTTGTTCAAGTTTTGTAGCTACATCTCATTTACAGTGAGAATTCATATTGCTGCAACAGGGTAAAGCACAGGGAAAAGGCCTGCGTGAGATATGAAGTGTAACTGAGTATGTTATAGAACTTCTTTTAATTCTTCATGTATAAAAAGATCACAATTGCAACACAATTATTTTTTTTTTACTGACTTCTTTCTTAAAAGCCTAGAAAAACGAGCACAGAAGTGGGTGAAAAGAACTGCTTTGTTCCAGTTCACTCATCACCAGCTTGGCCTATTTTTACTGATTCCAGTGGAAGTTACTGATATTTTCTGTGGAAGAATAAATTCCTCTCTCAGACTGATTTGTGGCGGGGGCAATGACCAAACAAGTTACAGTTCTAGTGGAACACCCTCCCCACTTCCCATGATGTTGTGAGGTTTATTTAACAACGATACAGGGCTCTGAGAATGCAAAGCGCTGGAATTTACAAAAGTAAACTGCTTTTTTTGCAAAGTAAAATAATAACAAAGCAAAAGCTGATTGTGATTTTGCAAGTGTCTGAAGAGGGACATGCTCCTACTTTTCTGCAGCTATGACCTTGTGTCCGTTCACTTTCTGCTGAAGGTAAATCTGAGGGAGCAGCAGGACACTGGTTGAAGCCCATAAAAATGGCCCGTTCACACTGCACAGATAACTTAATGAGGCTGGGCCCTAATTGTCTTGTGGGGTTTTTTTTGCAGTCTTCCCTGCTGGCATTTTGCAGCCGCCGTTCTTCAGCGCGTCCCAGCCCAAATCTCTGAATTACGGCGGCATAGGCATGGTCATCGGCCACGAAATCACACACGGATTTGATGACAATGGTAAGACACAGTGTCTAGGTACAAAACTTACAATGATTCCCAAAAGCACGAAGCAACGAATCTTGCTCCTGTACCTGCTCAGCTGCAGCAACAGCCCGGCACAGGCGTCTGCGGCACACAAGGGCTTTTAACAAGGTCGCTGGTTGCTTGCTTTTCCCAAAGCCTACAGCAAAACCCATCCTAATCTAGATGTAAGTGTGAGGAGGGCGGGTCACTGGGCTGGCAGAGGTGTGACCTCAAGGCTCTGGCTATCGGACCTGCTGCCCAGCCACACCGTTCCCTTCCAGACCTGCCCTATGATTAATGCAGCAGAGTCACCTGTCAGAACCACACCAGGCTTCCTAAAAGAGACTTAATCCTAGCTTCTGATTCAGCCTGAATTAATTTGGTTTTCCCCTCTGCTGAAATATGGCTGTCTTAGCCAAAAAAAAAAAAAAAAAGACAAATAAAGAGCATCCTCTGTATTGACTGCCTCATTACAGTGATTTTTTGGCATGGGTGACTGTACCCATTTGCTACCCTCCTTACTGCATCAAACCCGTCTCTTCCTGCATACGTAATTCTGTTAACATATTGTTACAGGCAGAAATTTTAATGAGAATGGAGACCTTGTAGACTGGTGGACTGAAGAATCAGCACGCAATTTTAAGGAGCTATCCCAGTGTATGGTGTACCAGTACGGAAACTTTTCGTGGGACCTAGCAGGTGGACAGCACGTATGTCATATTTATTTGCAACTACCACTGTTATTTTTAATACGGAAGAACAAAACCTTACATCCTAAACGTGCAGACTCTTAATGTGAACGCTGTCCTGGCTTATGGCCAACACTGTCACCTCTACCCACCAAAAAAAAAAAAGTCTTAAAATTAGAGATAGTGGTAAAAACTCCCCACATACACTGACTGTGTAGAGAAGAAAATTTCAACATATTTTTCCACCGTATTTTTAACACATTAAATTCAATCTGAGGATGATTTTAAGTTTTGCAGATTTGAATAGCACAGCCTAATATCTTAGGCTAAAGGTGAAAATTAATTTTTTTTAAAAAAAATTAAGATTCTCCGTTACCAAAGTTTCAGCATCTTTAGTGACACTTCACTGACTTAACAAACACTATACCAGCTACAGAGATACATATCTTGCTACCCAAGAGCCACCTAACTTGCCTAATACACAGGAAAATACGTTCTAGCAGACTTGCTGATGTCTGTTAACCGACAGTTCCAGTGATTTGGAGTTTGGATCGTTACTTGCTTTGTCGACCATACAGACAGGTTCTGCCCACTTCCTCTAACCCACAGCTTCTTACTACAGTTCCAGTTAAAGACGTGGAGCAAAGAGGAAGAATGAATGAAAATACACTTCAGAAAATCTGGCTAAAAGAGATCTGAGAGCCTAGAAAGCCGTAAGGGAAGGAAGAGGATCAGGGAAAACAACAGTATACACATGGATTTTGAGGCAAGCGAGGCAGACTTTTCAGAGGCATTAACATAATCTTCTGCTAAAACTTCAGATTTTAAGGGAATTCTCGCCTTTAAAAAGCAAAAAACACACAGAGTTTGACATTACGGGTCCTGGATAAGTTCTTCTTTTCAGAAAACTATGCCTTTCTGTTTTACAGCTGAGCGGAATCAACACACTAGGAGAAAACATTGCTGATAATGGGGGGGTGAGACAAGCATATAAGGTAAGAAGTATCCATTTTTGTATTTTAGCTGAAACCATCACAGACTAAGAAAATTCATTTCAGAGCCTTGGAAGAAAAAGCATCATTTTTTTGTGTTAGGGACAGGACCGTACCTACTGTGTCACCAAGGTGTGGGTTAAAACTATTGACAAGCTGTTGTATTTCATTCTATTAATTATTTCCTGATACATATTATCTGTTCCTAGTGTGCTCTTTTTCAGATGACTTCTATTTTTTATTTTTATTTTTTTCCTATTGTGAATAGGGAATTTGTAGAATGAAAACATTGAATGACTCACACTTGGACCATCACCTAACTAAACTGATGACGGTGAGCAGCTGCCTGCCTCTGTCATCACCAGCTTTTTTATGCCAGGAAGGAGGGACAGAGTGACTTTTTTTCTAAGCTCTACCCCCAAACAGCCTCTGCCTACATGGAACACTATTCACTGTTCAAAAAACCACTCAAAAATATTGCCTTGTACGAGCGACCTGGGTCCCCTGTACAGGTATCCAGCTGCCCGTGACGCCTGGACTCCCTGCACTAAGCCCGCCACGGGAGCTGGTTTGCCTTTTGCCTTTCCTTTCATCCTCTTCCTGAAGCAGGTACTTAACCCCTCAGACTGGCCAACTGTGAAAGTGAAAGCAGCAGAGGTCTTCACTTTGCCAATGCGGGGTGAGGAGCGCGTCAGCTTCTCTATGAACTTCTCTTGCAGTCCTGATGGCTGCAAGCCTTGGTAAGGGAACCTCTCTCCTTCCCTCGACACCTGGTTCTGCAGCAAAACCTCCAACGCTGACAACTGGCCACTGGCACTGCGCAGCGAGTCCCAGCCCGCAGGGGCCAAGCTCTCATCCCAGCTTCTGCAAAGGAAGCTGTCACCAACACTTACCCCGGGAAATACACGTTTGAGGGCAAATACAATCATTAATGAGAGCATGAAGGATGATTTGGAAGCCTAAAAGGCGCCAGAATGGCACATGAGATTAGTCTGATCAATTACTGAACGTCTGTGCATTTAAAAAAACCCCAGTACAAACCCACGAAAGGGGATACTCTTTCTGTAAGGAATGGGAGTAGCCAGAAAAAAAACTAAAAGGTCAAAAGTCTTACAAAAAAAAGAATTTGATATTTATAATTATTATGACATCATATAAATAGTAAAAAACGGTCCAAAAGGAATCCTGAGAGGTCGTCTAGGCCACCCCACCCCCCCACCTCCTGGCAGGTAGAATCAACCAGTTCTGTATCATCCCAACGTACCGTAAGGGAAGTTCTGCCACCTCCTTGCTGCAGGTCGAGTGCCATCACGCCTTTGCTTTCCCCAGCGGTACAGAGAGCAATCTGCTCCTTTCTTCTGTGTGACCTTTTACGTATTTGAAGGCCGTTACATACTTGAAGGCCCAGACTTCTCTTCTTTAGACTAAACAAACCCAATTCTTTCAATCTTTCCTCATAGGTCATGTTTGCTAGACCTCTGCTCATTCTTGCTGCTTTCCTCTGGACTCTCTCCAGTCAGTCCACATCTTTCTTGAAGTGCAGTGCCCAAAACTGGACAGAGGGCTCCAGCTGAGACCTGCCCGGTGCCAAGTAGAGTGGAAGGATTACTTCATGGCTCTTACATAAGACGCTCCTGTTTATACATCCCAGCATGACACTTGCCTTTTTCTGCAGCCCTGGGCAGCGCTGGCCCTCGTTCAGGCTGTTCTCCACCGAAACCCCCGGGGCCTCTCCGGGAGTCCCGTTAAGCACCCACCCCGCAGCTCGGCCCCGTGCGGCGGATCGGCTGCGCTCTGCGGTCCCTTGGCACTGACTTCAGCTACAACATTTCTCCCGTCCACCAGCTTCCTTCTATCAGTAACGATGTACTGACAGCACACTGGTTGACACGTGGTCTTCATGAGAAACATGAAAGCAGCTGTTCTTACTATGGAAGGGTTTTAAAGTCGTCTGCAATTTGCTTAAAAATAAGAACAAAACCAGAATGAAAAAAATCTACTTTTCATAACGCAACATTAATTTTATCACTTATTTAATGTCTTCTTCCTGCAGAATCAGTTTTGCTGAGTAAAACCCAGGAACCCTGTGTTGCGTACAGGGAAAGCCTATCTTACCCTGAGTGTGGTATTTTAGGCTCTAACCAAACAGTTGGCAAAAAAATATGAAATACATTTATATAATAAATATTCAAGAGAAAAGCAAACTCTAAGCAGGACAGCAGATACACCTGTTCTGTCGAATCAGAGTGAAGAAGGATTTTTTGCCACAGCTGAAGCTTTTGACACCAGATCTCTCAAGTCTAAGGGAATGAAGAGGAGGAAGAGGGAAAGGTGGACAAATGGGGGAGGACTGAATCTCCTGATCACATCGTGATCATCTCGTGGAGCATTTGTGCGAGCAGATGCAGGCCCGAGGTTTGGCACTGAGCGTGCTGGTGCCTCACTGCACCCACCCCACAGCGTTTCCATTGCAGAATGCATTCTCCCTTTTTAACACACAACCACCTTGGTTTGGGCAGTCATTAATTGTGAAAGGATTTGCTAGGTAACGGTCCAGTGGAATTCAATATATTAAGTATAATGCTTGCTGAAGAACAGTACTAACTCTCTGTAGCTACTGTATTTCAGAACGCAGGGGTCCTCCTTCGCATTCTTAGTTTATTACCGTGTAAAAAGATGCATAGCTATGCAAAAATCTTGTTATCTGGGTATATCCATCTCACTGAAATTATTCCACTAGCCTCGACTTCTTTTCACTATGAAAAATTGCCTTCTTTAAGCCCGTTTCTCTCACCATTTATTCCAATATAGTTCAGGCAGCTTCACTAAACCTGGTGTAAAACAGTACTGCAAGGCCCGTTCAACGCGAAAACTCTCTTTTTTCTGTCCAGCCCCTGGTACCACAGTGCTAAGAAACAGCCCTCTCGTCTTCTGCGTAAAGGTGGCACGTGGTAAGATGGATGGCCAAGGCAGTCCAGGATTAATTAGGTCAAAGAATCCATGTTTCTCCTTGCCATCATTTCGTTCTGACTGTCTGGGCTGGAAGTTGTAACATTTCTGCTCAATTCCTTCGACAGGCCTATGAAAACTTTGTGAAAAAGCATGGAAAAGAAAAACTTCTTCCGGGTCTTGAAATGAGCCATAAACAGCTGTTTTTTCTGAACTTCGCACAGGTATTCTCTACTTCTTGACTCAAGGCTTTGAAAACCACTTGAAGCTACAGTTTAACAGTTAATCGCAAAGAGTAGGCTGGCTTGCAGAGTTTTACTCAGAGCTGGCAGAGCTGCTAAGCTGAGCAGCATTCACTATAAAGTAGTGAAAAAAAAGTCTCATTAGGTAATTGGTGTTTCCTGTGCCCAAGTGCCTTTGTCTGAGGACAACAGTATACTTCTTTTTTTAACAAAACATACATTCTTTTCTCTATCTTCTAATGTGAAATTTATTCTCATGACATTAAGTATTTCGTGGTGAAATGATGGCAGGTCTCTTCCTGGGCAACCTTACGGCTAACAAATGCTTTTCTTCATGACACGTGCAGGTATGGTGCGGAACGTACAGACCAGAATACGCTGTGAACTCCATCAAAACTGACGTGCACAGCCCCGGCAAATTCAGGTCAGCACGTATAATAATCTTCAGGGCAGGAATTCCTGAGCACACCACAGCTTCTAGCTGTAGAATTTAACCAACCCTACACAAACGGCGGAGCTGCACTCCCCAGGGCAGATCGAGGCACGTGCACGTGCGCAGGCAGAGCCCACCGAAGGGAGAGGAAGCCACTGTCCCTCTAGACTGGGGGCAGAACAGGGGGGTTGTCCTCACCCTTGAGAGCACTTGGCTCAGCGCTGTCTCACTGTGGAGAAGCTTTGTGCAGCCGTAACCACAGAACCCCCCGTCGCCTGGCTGGCAGCACGCTGCAGGATTTTCACTAGTCCCCTGGCTCCTGCAAAGCTCCTGACAGGGCTCCCATAAAACAGGAGGCTATGGATGGGATTCCATCCTCTGCTACAGCCACAGGTAAAAGCTCCAGCTAATCGGCGGAGCGCAAGGCTTCTACCCCTCCAAGCATGGAGAATTCATCTTCTTTGAAACAGCAATAGTGATGAGAGGAACGACCTGCTGAGGAGAGCCTTTGCCCTCTAGCACTAGCAAGGCGTCACTCAGGCCCTGGCGCGGGTCGGCGTCGCTCGGTGGGTGTGTTAGCAGTTACTCCAGCACTGCAGCTCCACTCTGCCCCAGGCCTTCCACAACCCCACTGCCTGCTCCCTCTTGCAAGAGTCTCAGAAGGGAGGTGCAGGCGGAGGAGCACTGCCCCGCAGGCAGCGATGAGCCCATACGCTGCCGTGCAATCAGTCTGTATTTTCTGCCTTGTGTACTCAGCCCGGCCAAGGAGAGGTGGGCTTGAGTGGAGCGGAGTCCTGCAGGAAACCCGGCTGTTGTGGAGGATGGCTTTGGGCCACACCGTCTTTTCTTTTTAACTGAAGGCAGAGCAATTTACTCAGCAGTAGCGTAACAAGAGTTTTGCTCTAATAAGTCTGTTTGGTCAAACACCACGAGACCAAGTAGTAACATAGGCACCACGTCGCCGTTCGCTCTGAAAGGCCGTGCCACCTCCGGGATTCACAGGCACAATAGCCCACTTCTCTCCTGACCCAATCCCCTACATGAATTCCAGTGTCTTTCAATGGCTTTTCACCAAAGACTTATTTTGTTTATCCCACATACTCAAATATTTAGTGAAAGCAGAGGCTGTTCCCTCAGCTGCTCCCAGTGTGTACTGTCCACTGTTTGTGCAGCGACTCCAGGCAGCAGCGGGGCTTGGGGAGGGTGCTGGTGAGGCTCTGCACCAATTCCGAACCACGACGCCTCTCTGCACACTGAGTTTGTACAAGTCACAAGTCCTCTGAATTCACTAGTTCAGCATCTTCATGTAACAGTGTTTGTGTGTACCTTGGGTATACACATCCCATATTGCACTGGTTTTATATCGGTATGAAAGGCTATGAACTTTATATGGAATTACACGAGTATTCATGAGAAACCAGGCTAACATTTTTAGAATGTGAAGTAATTTTCAGGATATGGCCACCTTAAGAGCTCTAAAATCAAAAGCATTTCAGTCCACAAGACATACCCACAAAATTACCGCCTCATGACAGACTGTTAAAATGTCACAATGGTTCCCAATGTGCCTTTTTTTTTTTTTTTTTTAAATTATTTCAGGGGGTGGAGTGGGGGGGTTTTGTTATTTGTTTTATCACCTGCCACAGTGTCTGTAGACCGTTCCTCCTTACAGGTAGGACAGGCAGCTCTTCATAACAATTGTTAATTGTGTGGTACAATTTAAGTTTATGGGCTAACAGAGTTGTAGACAGGTAGAATCTTTTCTCCACTAGAAAAATAAGAAGCTAACAGAAAGATGCCTTAGATCAGGTAATCATCAATGGCAGGCAAAAGAGAATCTGTATCTGTGTTAGCATGCAAAATTAAAACATAGCAGGTACAAAACAGCTACAGGTCAAGCCCTGCTTGTGCACAAGTCCCTGTATTTCTGGGGGTATCAGGAAATGAAGCAGGATTCTGATCCCACTGCTGGTTTATCTGCTTGTTAATAACAAATCTAAGTAGGGTTTTATTACACCCGAAATGCTTCTTGCTCTGTTTCTGGCAAAGTCCCACGTTAGCAGTTCTGGCTGTCCAGAGCAGGAAGCAGTGCTGGATCCCTGAAACCTGTGACTCTGTCATCCCTTGTTGGTGCTCTCCTGCCCCGCTGCCGGCTCCCTCCACCACTCTGCAAGTAACTGGTCTCAGTGTCGGTCTCAAAGAGCTGGTCAAATCATGGCCCATGTCCGCTGCTGCCCTTCCCCTCAACCCCTGTGGAGGCTTCCTGCTTCTGTGGAATCTAATGACTCAGATTATTCACAGAATAATCACAAGTTACTGAAAGAAACAGTTCTTCAAAAATTCCCTGTCCGCAGTCAACGTGCCTCAGGGTCTGCATCGGACACCCGTAGGTGTGCGCGTCCTGTATTTCCATCCCTGAAGGGGCGAGCAGCTCCTGGCACATCCAGTCACACATGTTCACAGTTACACATTTAAAAACTGCTCTGGCTGGAATGGCCTCACATCCCCGGGAAACCTGCTCTTTGCACCAGTCTTTTTTTCCAGGAAGCTCATTCAGTGGAGAGTGCCCGGAGAAGCGGTATGATCTCAGCTAAACTGGATCGGGGTAAAAGTCTAAATGAGCATTCACTGAGAAGTTACACCACAGTCCGCTACCTCGGGGTCTTGTTTTCCCTTTACCAAGGAACCTGTCAGCAAAAGAGAGCTGAAACGATTCTCAGTGAAAACTAACAACAAGCAATAAGCCTGTTCTTAGTGAAGCAAAGGGAAATGTTGTAGGAGCCGGTAGCGAAGGAGGGACAGGTGCTGTATTTCAGGGGGTGCGGTAGGGACCGTGCAAACAGAAAAGGGAAAATACAGCCACTGCTTGAGGCGAAGGGGAAGCAACAGTCCGAGTTCAGAAATACAGGCGTTTCCCACAGGATTTTGAGGTGACGCAAAAGTTACAAAACGCGGGTCGTCTTGTTTGTTTTAAGCAAAGGCAACAATGACAAGATGCTGTTGTTTTGTTTCAAAGGGTCATCGGATCATTGCAAAACTCCCCAGAGTTTTCCGAAGCCTTTTCATGCGCTAAGACAAACTACATGGATCCTGCGAAAAAGTGCCGTGTTTGGTGACAGAACTGTAAACCTTGTGTCTCGAGAAGCTTTCCAGAAAAGGAGAAATTCTGAACTAATTTTGAGAAGGAGAGGAGGGAAGAAAACTGAGAGGAATATGCTAGAGTAGTCACTGTAATTCTTAGTAAACAAGCAAAAACAAAACAAAACAAAACAATCACTCATCAGAATATCAAATGAAGACTAATGCCACTGCAGCAATCGGCTGCTCCAGCTGCTCGGCTGCTTCTCCTGTCACTGCACCCGGTAGAATCTAAATCACTTGAGAGTGTACAGTAACATTTCACTTGTAGTTAATCCTGTTCCCCGCAGGCCAGTGGCTTTTTGGATTTATTTTAAAATGTCAAAGCAGAACACGTTATCTCCCACTGGTCGGCGAGGGTTTATTTCTGATCAAGCGTGGAAGGAAATATTAAGTAACACGGAGTTTCAGACACCCTAACATGAAAAGGAGACAACAGTTTGTATCCTGAGTGTCAGACTTTGTACCCTCTGCTGTTACGATCAATCTGTTCTACCAAATGTTTTCATTTTTACTTGAAACCGTTTATATAAGAGGAGTCCAAAGACCTGCTGTAATTAAGTAACTTCTCACTAATAATTCCAGTGTGTATTATCTGAAGTCACTATTTACAACAGTTTATTTACTGCTTTCCAGCCAAACTGAAATTGTAGGTAATTTATTAATGTTTGAACATATAATCTGTAAGATTGTGATCGAAGACCCTTTCACAGTTTTCTAAGCTTTTTCTTGCTTTATCTAAGGTTGGTCTTTTTTAAAGTTTCTAGTAATGTATAAATCATAGTTTTTATATTTAAATCTGAGCTACACTTTTGACTTGAAGTATTGTAATATATTTTATCAGTGGCTGCATAGAACTGGGAAATTTGAGTAAAGCATGGTATCAGGCAATAAGACAAAAATCTACAAAACCGAGCTCTCCAACAGAGTAACACCAATATCCAAGTTTTCAGGCTGACTTTTTCCATGTTTCGGGTCTGATCCTGCACATAATTTGTACGTGTTCTGATCGATGTCAGTCCTCACATCAGTAAAGCTGCACAGCTGATGGCAAGAATCGGGAGGAGCTTTAAGTAAGAGGGTAAAAGGCTTTAAATCTGCAGTGATAATGTCTGAAACATCCTCATGCAGATTGCAAAGGAACTTACTGCTTTGTGTATCAAAGCAAACAGATTTCCAAAAATAAGTACCAGATACCTCAGATGACTGCTACAATAGGTATATTTAAAAACCTATGTTCCTTTTAGCTTTCTGGTTTGTCATCTGATAAAAACCTTTTGATAATAAACTGAAATTATGAGCCAAATACAATGTGTGTTCTTGATAGGAAATGTAAAAGTACAGAAAAAGAAAATACTCTCTGCAAATAAATTTCTCTACTCGCCCCTAAGCGTCACAGCTCAACATCTGTAACAACGGACAGAAGGAGAATTCAAAGCGTTTTGTTCTAGTTCCAAGGCAGATGTCAGGTTAGTCAGTATCTGAGGAAATCACACCAGAATTGCACCCAGCACGGCGCCTTGGCCAGTCCCTGCCTCTGCGTCAGCCCAAGGGGCAGCAAAGAGTGAAAACCAGTAGAAGATAGAGAAAAGTGCTAGAAAAAGCCAAAAAGTTGTGTTAACGGGGTTTTTCTCTCTCTGCTGGGCCCCTTTCTTCACTCCTCTCCATCTATTTGTCAGAGATGTAAAAATACACTTTATCATTAACCTCGTCTCCAAATGAAACTCCGTCTTTTATGAATTCAGGCCCGTAAGTCTGTGAAACGGGAAGTATCATTATCCCTATTTTACAGCTAAACATGGTAACACTCGTCAAGCATAGGACTGAAATTCAGAAGGTAACTAAATAAATCAGGGGATCACTAAATACAGAATAAGTAGCATTAAGCGTAACAGCCAATAAATCACTAACAATTGGTGAATAAAATAACAAAAAGCCCAAACCATGAGTTAAGTCAGTGCAGGTAGATCAGCTGTGATGTCTGTTCGGGCATGTATCAGGAGGCTTTTCTGACACACCTCGTGTGTCATTTGCCTGCTGGACAGACAGACAGACAACCTGAAGAGTGGTTTTACTGCTGGTGACACAGATCCGCCCCCAGCAATTTCCCACAGCAGGCATCCTACACAGTGAAGGGTTTTTTTTCACTCCTGAGTGACCCAGACACACAAAAATAGCTGCATCTTGAGTCAGCCCAGCTCCTGGTGGCTCAGGGACAGGGAGTGCTTGTATTCCACCGAGGGTACGGTCAGCTCTGTCACCGTCACGCTAAGAAACAAAGCTACCCCTGGGGAAAGCACCCCGCAGCGCTCTGGCAGAGCAGCAGCAGGTACTCTAAGGAAACAAAACCCAGACACACTTGACAGCTGGCTTGAGACATGTCATCAAAGCCAGCTTTTCCATTCATGAACGGTTAGACTCTTCCCCAAACCCCCATTTCATCGCTGCTTCTCCCTCCCATCCATTTTCTTACAGACGATCCAGCTGTAACAACGAGCTTGGACAGAAGCGTGTGAAATACAAACCAAATAACACCTACGGGCAGAAGAAAGGCAAAGTTTCACTGCTCACTGCTGAGAGCACAAAGGGCAGAAAGAGCCTCCTTTCCTTCAGTGGAAGCAAGGGAAGGGACAGCTAGAAAACAGCCTACAAACACTCCATGATTCGAGATGTGACAGGTTTAAACAAAAAGCACCTGGGCAATGGAGGAACCGGACCACTCAAGCTGTTTGCAGAAGTCCCGTTTATGCGTGCACACGCAGCTGTATCGTTTCCAGAAACACCCCGAGAGAAAATAAAGAAATCATCTGCAGCACAGATCTGTCAGTGCCTCCCGATGCCAACCCGGGGCGGGGGAGGCACATCACACACCTCCTCCCACCGACCCAGTCTCCCCCCAAAGCCACTTGGCACATCAGCCAGGGGCGGGGGAGCCTCGTATTAGCACTTCACAGAAAACTCGAGGTCTTGGAAACCAAACTCTAACCAGTGTCAGTGTCAACTAGCATTTCCTCACTCATGCAAAGGTGAAATTCAGGTGTTCATAAGAGAAACACAGCACTAATTATTCAGATGGGAGACATCTGACATTAAACAGTGACAAGCAGAATATACCTTTCATCACAGCGTGCAAACTAATTAGTGCCAGCGAGGATTTTCCTTCTAAGAGTGTTAATGTCAGGGAAGTATTTATAGACACGCCATGGGAAGGATGTACCAAAGACCTCAAACCCAACAACGGAGTGAAGGACGCGCACTCAGCACAGCGGTCGTGTTACTGCTGCTTCAGTTCTGCACTTAAACACTCCAATAGATTTCACAGGAGGAGTTCAAGTTCTGTGCAAATGCTTTCTAGCATTCCCCTGAGCTTGGCAGGAGGCACCTGCAAATTCACTAAATTGCCACATGTACTGCTGAAAGTTATAAAAACAGTCAACGTGGTCCCACTAACACAACTGCTGTGTTGCTAAAGGCTTTGCGTTGTCTGTAAGTTTTACCTGCCTTGGCCACACTGCCTAAGAATATGTGTTTCTCTTTTACTGAAAAGATGCTTAGAATCAAGTTGGCACGAACATCAGAGATACATTTTATGACAATATGTCAAAAAAATATTAACTAGTTCCCTATGACGTGTGCATCTCTGTGTGTTTCTTAATGTTCAAAACCAGAGAGTCAAATAAAGCGAAAAAGAGCAAAAACCCCTCAGTATTACCTCAATGGAAGGCAAGGAATTTCTGGAAGAAGTAGTATTCCATACCTAAAAGAAAGAAAAACATGTTAATACCTAGAGTATTTAAACTGATCTTGATTTATGGCTGAAAAGGCATCAGGGGGAAAAAAAAAAAGGGTGAAACAAAAATATCTGAATGAATTCTATAAAATCAGTGCTGCTCACTCTCGGGCTGGCTCTGCAGAGCCCCATCCCGTGCCTGCCTGCCCGCAGGCTGCTGCACGTCCCGCGGGATTTACAGCCGCCGGGCGCCCAAGGAGCGTTAGTCCCTCGCCCCGAAAGCCTGGCCAGGCCGCCACTGCCAACCCTGCCCACCCTCTAAAAGCTCCGAAGTGCTGCGGAGGGCATCAGAACATGGAGGGAAAAGCTGGAGGGAACATGATCTCTTTCTCATGACACATTTCACATTGCTTCGTTTTGGCTAAAATGTCAGTTCAGGTTTTTGCTTTATCACAGTATCCTTGTCAATGCCAGTGAAATGTACAGGGGGAAAAAAGCATTTACAGGTATGACAAAATATTGTTATTTAACAGGTTTCTCTCATCTACTTCAGTGCAAGAAAGGCTAGATTTAAACTCAAAAATAAGTGCAATAAACAGCGAGACCGGGATACAGCAGGATCCCGTGGGCAAACAGCTGCATTTGTTCGTACTTCTGGGAAAGAAAATCCACTCAGTTTTACCTAAAAAAATGTATTATTAATATAGTTCTTCACAATACTTATAGTTCCATAAAATCTAAGAGTCAGTCACTAGAGTTCTACAGGTGCCTTTTGATTGCTTCAGCTGACCTGACTCTCCACAGCAGCACTGTGACAAAACGCCAGGGACTACATAAAATACAGAAATACCGACATCGGACAATTAACTGACAATGCATTAACCAACCGCTACCACACACACAACCCTCACCGAATAATTCATCCAGGCTCTGCTGAGATGCTGTCAGTCACAAAGAGCTTGGCTTCTGCTGCCCAGGGGCCGGGCCCACAGGCTCGCCGTGGCCAGCGGCAGGTTCCCACGAGCCTGGCCGGGCTGCGCCGCCCCGAGAGGCACCGGTCGACCCCCGAGCCAACGCCTGGACTTGGAGCCCTCAAGAAGCTCCAACAGTGAAGATGCCACCAATAAAAACTCTTAGGGACTTTTTCTTCTAGAGAAGTGACCCCTTAAGTGCTGCTACTTCTTAATCAGGTGTTATTTATTTTCCTACATATGCTGCACTTATTTCGTTTTCCTTTTTGAACATACCCCTTTTAGATATTGAATTGTGGGCCTTTAAATTATAAAATATAAAAGACCTGAATTCTCTCAACCTTTTGTAACATCCAGTGGAAAAAAATCACAATACAGCAAGAAATAAATAAGATGTGGCACATACTGTATCTGGGGGAGCCCTAACGGGTTCACACATGGCTAATG